GTAAAACATATGCCAGAATAGTTGTCGGTTCATTCCGCTGTGGCAACATTTTATTTCGGTTGGAATAAAAGGTTTTTTTTTACCACTTTAAGCTCAATATTATCAGCCCCCTACAGAACAAACCTCTGTTGTCCAATGATTTGCCTAACGTTAAACTAATTAACCTAGTTAAGCTTTTAAATTGCTAAAACTTGAAAAATATCTAGTCAAATATTATTTACGGTCATCATGGCGAAGATAAAATAAATCAGTTATTAGAAATGAGTTATTAAAACTATTATGTTTAGAAATGTGTTGAAAAAATCTCTACACTAAACAGAAATTGGGGGGGGGGGGGGTATACAGGGGGACTAACAATTCAACTGTAGGCTTAAGAGTCTAAAAATAACAGTAATGAGTGCTCACTGTTGAATATAATGATCACTGAGTCAACTAATCCACCCTGAAACATCTGTTAACTAGTGAGTATCAAAAGTCCAGCTCTTGTTACTTTCTGCAAACCACATGTGAAAAGCAACGGCGCAGGAAAAGTTTATCCAGGCATCTAAAAACGGGTTTCTAGTGCATCCATCACCTGCAGTGTGAGCCTCATGTCACTCATTCCGACAACTGCACCATCAGTTCCCCTTCACGTCACATGGGAGAGTCTGTAAAACGCCTGACAGTGACGGCGGCGGGTTTGGGAGTGATAATGGGCACTTACGGCTGTCGTAGCAGATGTTGCCGAGGGCTCGTCCCGTCTGGAGCAGTATTTCCTGATCCTTACTGTTTAGCAGCTGAACCAGCGGAGGAATGAGTCCCGCTTCCACACACGGGCTCCTCATGAATTCTGCAAGAAAAGCCCAACAGTCTTAACTCATTAAAGTGGATTATTATTACTATTATGCCTCTTTTAAAATGTAAAATAAGTCTCTGATGTCCCTGGAGTGTGTATGTGAAGTTTCAGCAAAAAAATACACAACAAATGATGTTTAATAATGCTTGAAAACTGCCCCCTTTTAGGCTTTGATCTTAATTGTGCTGTTTTGGTGACTGTCACTTTAAATGCAAATGAGATTGTGAGATTTTTCTTTTTGTAAAGTGCGGAGCTACAAACTAGAGGTCTGCATTCCCGTGGAGTTCTGCGGCGAGGGAATAAATTTCCGAATAAAGAGCGGGAGCGGTCGGTAACTGGTTCCATTTTGGACGGGAGCGGGCCGTCTAGCAATATCGCTCCTGACTCCTGAGCGAGCGAGCACGCGTATGTATGTGTGTGAACGAGACAGTGTGATGCTGTTTAGCTTGTTTGTTGCTGTGTGTGTGTGTGTGTGTGTGTGTGTGTGTGTGTGTGTGTGTGTGTGTGCGCACACCAATGAGAGAGAGAGCTTTGTCTGTGTGTGTGTATGTGATTGCTGCTTATGTGTGTGTGTGTGTGTGTGTGTGTGTGTTTATACAGACAGCTTGTTAAAGGCTGTCTAGACTCTGTAAAGCTGGGTGGTTTTCAGGTTTTGTTCTCCCCCCACTCTTTAGCGGGATCGGGCGCGCCCGGTAGAAAACGGGGTGGGTCGGGCAGCGGGACAACAAATGCTGAATATAAGTGGGAGCGGTCGGGTTCTGGCTAAAACCTGGCGGGAGGTATAAATAAAAGGTCATATTGAAATTAAAATAAAAATTTTAGATGTTAGTTTTAGTCTGCTAGTTTTAAGGATATCTATTATCTAAAGTGCTCCAAAACAAGACAAAATCCTAAACAGATCAACGTTTTTTTTCACGTCACCTCATATTTCATTTTCTCATCAAATCTTGACCAATCAAATGCCTTCTAGTATCTGACATGCCCCGCCCCCTTCATGACACTTCTCATTTGCTTTTTATTTGATGCACTTGAGCTCAACCACTCTAATTGGCAGAGCTGATATAAAAACAAAACACTATTGGCTGTTTTCTTAAAAGGGGAGGAGCAACGCTATGCCCCGCCCTCTTCATTTTCAAGTTGAGATGATGTCAAACATCTAATAAAAATTTACATTTTAAAGCACTTCATAAAACTGGTGTGATCTAATTACTGTCTGATTAACGCATTGCAGTGATACGGCAGTAAATCAAATGCATCTTCTGTCTCTTTCCTCACAGAGAAAGTGCTGTGGACTAGACTGGATGAAGCAGATGTTCCCGGAGGAATCCTGACAGCTGAAAGCCAGCAGGAGATCCAGTCCGCAGATCTGCCACAGCAGCAGGCCACTGTCATTAGCAGCCTAGCAAAATGCTAAAAGGCCATTCATTATTTTAACCTTTTTATGTCAGGCCGCTCTCTATACGCTTCCAAAGCCCAGCTCTATCCGTCTGAAGTGCGCTTTAAAGCAGCACTTGTGTAATTAGACTAAAAGCTTAATGCAAAGAAGAAGTGAGCACTGACTGTGCAGGACTGATGGCTGATGTGCTGGAGCTGTAATTACAGACACCACAGCAAAGCATCTTTTAAAGGAACACTACGCTTTATTTTTTGGTAAATTAGGTAAAATGGTTGAGTTTTACCATTATTGAATCCATTCAGCCGATCTCCGGGTCTGGCGGGAGCATTTTTAGCTTAGCTTAGCATAGATCATTGAATCAGATTAGACCGTTAGCATCTTTCCAAAAAGAGTTCAGATAATTTTTCTATTTGAAGATATCTATTGGGTAAAAAATATCTTAATTTTAGAGTTATTGGTCATTTGCATAAACTATACTAAATCAATATCAAGCATTGATAATAGAGCAGAGCAAAAAACAACCCAAATATCGATGCTGAAATGATATAATGTGCCGCCCCTACACTGTTTAGGTATGTTCTATTGTGCGTTTAAGATGACACATCCAGTTTTGCCATTGTTGAATTGATTTAGTCGATCTCTGTGTCTGGCGGGAGCACTTTTAGCTTAGCTTAGCATAGATCATTGAATCGGATTAAACCGTTAGCATCTTTTCAAAAAGAGTTCAGATAAATCTCTTATTTACTAAACGAAATAGGATAAGCTTAATAGGATGTTAATGGTGCAACCTGAATCAATTATCTATGCCAAGCTTAACAGGATGCTAATGGTCTAATCGGATTTGATTATCTATGCTAAGCTAAACTGGATGCTAATAGTCTAATCAAATTTAAATATCTATGTTAAGCAAAACTGGATGCTAATGGTCTAATTCGATTTAATCATCTATGTTAAGCTAAACTGGATGCTAATGGTCTAATCCAATTTAATTGTCTATGCTAAGCTAAATAGGATGCTAATAGTCTAATCTGATTCAATTATCTATGCTAAGCTAAATAGGATGCTAATGTTCTAATCCGATTTAATTATCTATGCTAAGCTAAACGTGATGCTGATGGCCTAATCTTATTCAATTATTTATGTTAACCTAAACTGGATGCTAATGGTCTAATCCAATTTTATTATCTATGCTAAGCTAAACTGTATGCTAATGGTCTAATCAAATTTAAATATCTATGTTAAGTTAAACTGGATGCTAATGGTCTATTCCAATTTTATTATCTATGCTAAGCTAAACTGGATGCTAATGGTCTATTCCAATTTAATTATCTATGTTAAGCTAAACTGGATGCTAATGGTCTAATCCAATTCAATTATCTATGCTAAGCTAAATTAGATGCTAATAGTCTAATCTGATTAAATTATCTTTGCTAAGCTAAATAGGATGCTAATGGTCTAATCTGATTTAATTATCTATGCTAAGTTAAATGGGATTCTAATGGTCTAATCCGATGCAATTATCTATGCTAAGCTAAACAGGATGCTAATGGTCTAATCCAATTAAATTATCCATGTTAAGCTAAACTGGATGATAATGGTCAAATTCAATTTAATTATCTATGTTAAGAAAAACTGGATGCTAATGTCTAATCCAATTAAATTATCTATGCTAAGCTAAATAGGATGCTAATAGTCTAATCTGATTCAATTATCTATGCTAAGCTAAATAGAATGCTAATGGTCTAATCTGATTTAAATATCTATGCAAAGTTAAACGGGATGCTAATGGTCTAATCTGATGCAATTATCTATGCTAAGCTAAACGGGATGCTAATGGTCTAATCCAATTAAATTATCTATGCTAAGCTAAACTGGATGATAATGGTCTAATCCAATACCATTATCTATGCTAAGCTAAACAGGATACTTATGGTCTAATCCAATTCAATTACCTTTGCATTAAAAGTGTTCCCACCAGACCTGGAGATTGGCTGAATGGATTCACAAAGGTAAAACTCAAATATTTAACGCTAGGTGAGTAAAATTTCCCCAGAAAAAGTGGATGGTTCCTTTAATAGATTTAATAATATTTGTATACATGGAGAATATGTCTGGAGATTGGAAAATATTTAATAACTAAATATTAACTAAAATGTAATAATAAATAATCATTTAATATCTAATTAACTAATAATTTATTAACTAAAGCTTGGTAAATATTTAATAAATATTAATTAAACTACATTTTTATAAATAATGATAAAAGACGACTTATAAAACTCACAATGATCAGAGCGACTAATTAAGCTAATCAAAAACTCGAGAATCACACGCACTGCTCTGTTGTATAATCTCCCAGCACATTTAATTGCTGATTTATGCTGTTGTGCACAAACAAGGCAAGTTATCAGTAGACGAACGACCGGCTCTTTTGAGCTCACAAAATAACACAGACTGAAATTGCATCTACAAAGCAAAGTGGATAAATACATTTTGACACAGAAATCTCTCCCGTTCTCTGCTTTCATCTGCCAAGCAGTTATTCAACCCTGTTAACATCGCATCTGTGACTGGATTATAAAAACAGAAAAGCCGTGCTCTGAGAACAATGTTGGTAAAAACTGGCAAATGATATAATAGTAAAAGCAAAACAGATATATTTCAAGTTGTATTGCTGCTTTTATTATCATCCTACTATAACTGTGACGCTTAAAACATTAAGCATTAATAATGACATGCATGAAGGGCCACAGACCTGACTGTAGCGTCAGAGGAAACATGAGAGAAGAGTTGCAAAATAGCAGAGACAAACAAGCATAACCATGAGGGAAAAAACAGAGGACATTTATACTGAACTGGCTTCTATTAATATTGTGACATCAACATAAAGCTATTGTGAATGAAGACAGTGTACCAGGGTTTCTGCAGGTTTCACCAAGCTAAATTTAACACTAAGAACATTATGAATGTAATTTCAGACTTATACAGGGCTAAATGCTCAAAATTTATTTTGAATATCCCAGTTGGAAAAGATTTTCACTAGCCCTATCAAAACATTATTATTAAAATTAATAAATTAATTTATTAAATAGAAAATATTTATATAATAATAATAATAATAATAATAATAATAATAATAATAATAATAATAATTAAAAATTATTATTATTATTATTATTATAGTAATAATAATAATAATAATTATTATTATTATTATTATTATTATTATAAATAAATAAACAGGGATATTTTAAGCAGATGTACTGTAATGAAATTAATTAAATGCTATTTTTAAATAAGTTAAAATTTAAATAAGATGGATTGTTGGTGATTGTATGGGTTATTAATGGCCAGATTTAGTAGCTATACATGAACAAAGCAAACTTAAGACCTGTTTAAAAAGATTTAAGACCTACAACACAATGTTTTAGTAGATTTAAGACTTAAGGCATAAAATTAAGCTTTTGAGATTTAAGACATTATAACTTTTTAAGATACACGCAGATATACGGATATACACCCCTGGTATACAAATTAGATTTATTTTTCAAATGTTTGCCAAATTCTGTTTAACAGAGCAAGGATGCTTTTCACAGTGTTTCCTATAATATTTTTTCTTCTGGAAAAAATCTTATTTGTTTAATTTCGGCTAGAATAAAAGCAGTTTTTTTTTGTTTTTTTTTTAAACCATTTTAAGGTCAATATTATTAGCCCCCTTAAACAATATTGTTTTTGATTGTCTACAGAACAAACCATGATAATACAATGACCTGCCTAATAAGTGTAACTTAACCTAATTAAGCCTTTAAATGTAACTTTAAGCTGATTACTAGTATCATGAAAATATCTAGTCAGATATTCTGTACTGTAATCAAGGCAAATATTAAATAAATCAGTTATCAGAAAGGAGTTATTAAAACTATTATGATTAGAAATGTGTTGAAAAAACATCTCTCCGTTAAACAGAAACTGGGGAAATCATATACAGAGGGGGCTAATAATTCTGACTACACTTTAATAGGCCATGCTTTCAAGGAAGGTTCAGGGAGGGGAAAGTACTTACCATTTTTGGCCACCTCTGCAATGATGTTGGCTACTTTAGAAGTACATGAGTTCTGCACAGACAAAAGAGCGGGCATCGAGGCAAGAACACCCATCTCCTGGATCTTTTCACTAGTCTCGACATCTGAAAACAAGAGTCAGGAACATCAGTGAGAAATGTGATTTTGTGTGTAAATCTTTTGGCAACATCTGATTTTTTTGGCTATATTTAAAGGGTCACAAAACACCAAAACACATGTTTTGAGCTGTTGACAGTCGTATATGTGTCCCACACTGCTAAAAACACTATTAGGACACCTATATTTCACTAAAATGTGTAAATTGGTTGTTTTTGCGTTATTTCAAGCAAATTCGTACTTCCGGTTTGAAACGAATTTTTGAAGCTGCGTCACGGTCATGACATAATAGCGTGTATTCCAGCGTGCAGACTGGACGCCTGTGCCAGAGTGTGTCTTATTACGTCTTACAGTGTGATGCATTAATGCATGAGTAAGGCTTGGTTCAAACCAATCAGCGCGCTCTATTGTGCAACTTTATTAATATTCATTACTGTCACCGTGTTTTCAGGACAGAGACGCCACGTTGTGTTGGCAAAACAAGCGTGAAGTGTTGCTTTTATAGTTTGCTGCTATTAAGTTTCGTTTTCATTTTCTCTCTGTCAGAGCTCAGACTCACGTGTGGATTAACAGTGTACGCGACGCTCGACAACAATAACTTACGCGTCTAAGGAGGAACATTGTTTACCTGAGAGCTGTTCTCATCTGCAAATGCTGAGATCTGGATTCGTTTGTAGTATTCTCTTCATAAAGACGCGGCTCTAGTTGCTGGTGATTGTCCTGTCTCTACAGATTTGGTAAGTGAGCGACCAGTGCTCTTTGTTTATTCAGTTTGTTCGTATCTAACAAACTATTGCGAGTGTAAACATGTTAGCACCACAACCAAACTTTAACCTCGTGTAGGGTTTTTACCGCATTTAGTGACCGGAATAACACACGCGGCTTTCTGACACTACCTGTCGTGTGCATCTAAGTTTCTGGGAAATGCTGAGGTTTTTTTTCTCTCATTCGCCGTGCGGTATAAAACATTGCATGAAAAATACACGCTTAGAGCAGATCCTCGAATCAAATATCTCGTTTGTCGCGAGGGGCATGAATGAATTCCCTGAGTGAAAGAGCCAAACTGCAGTTAAAGTCCACCATTTAATAATTTGGCAAATAATTCGACTACAGATGTCCATGTAGGTTAAACAGCATCACTTTCCCATGTGTGTGTGTGTGTGTGTGTGTGTGTGTGTGTGTGTGTATTTTGACTCTGAAACTCCCGCGTGCCCAAATTGACACTCCCACACCACCCCACTTTTCTTCCTCCGACACTACCCCCTAAACAGAGCTGGACACGCCCACTTTTCTGACTTTTTCCAAAGTAGAGGTGTGAAAATACACTGCTGAAACGAGGGGGTTTCATGGCCCTTTAAATTATGGGCTCTATTTTAACAATTTAGGCACATAGTCCAAGACGCAAAAGTAAAAAGGGTGTGTCTGAATCCACTTTTGCTATTTTAAGGATGGAAAAATATGCTTTGAACCCTGGCGCATGGTCTAACAGGGTTGTGCTTATTTTCTTAATGACTAATGGGTGTGTTTTAGGCATAACATGCATTAAACCAATCAGAGTCTCATCTCACACTCCCTTGAAGAGTCAGCTGCGTCCTGCCATGGCGCATTCGCTATTTAAATAGCAGACTTTATAAGTGTAAAAACTGAACACTTCACTAGCGAGAACACACTTAAACAGACAATCTGCAGCATGAGGATAAAGAATGAGCCTCCTTCATTCTGCCTCTTTACTCCTTTACTTTCGTGGAGTAAGTAAACGATGTTGTACGCACTCCACTGAAGAGATTCATTAGCCTACATATTTAATTTCGTTTGTTAAGTGTTTTACAGTGTTCGACAACAAAGTTTTTGGTGCGTTACTGCCACCTCTGGTGAAACTTTCTTAATGGAAAGATGACTGAGGGAGAGGAGTTATTTCTAAAGCAGGATTCCTCTTGACCATACCTCAAGGAGTACATAATAAGATGCAAAATATATACTTACATACACTATAATGCTTATTCCAATATATTTCCCTTTACTATACATTACTATAGCATTTTCATTGTGTAGCACCTGGTTTTATAGGATTTTCAGTTTTAGCTGTTATATACTATATTGTGTTTCTGTTTAGTACAACATATTATTTGCAGTAAATAACTGAACTGAACTATTCTGCCTCATATGTTTCATTGGCAGTTTTATTAATCACTAAGATATGATTAACTTGGATTTAAGTTGCTTTGATTTAAAAATGAAAGTTGTAAAAATAGCTTAAATGTAGCTATTAGCCATGTAGCTTTTGGCTTAGCTTGCTACATTTCCCAGGGGGTAGCTTTAGTGTAGTTAAGCTACATTTTAAGTAGAGTAGCTAATAGCTTAGCTAACTGCATGTTTTCATGTAGTTTGCCACACACTGTCATACACAATTAAATCCTTCACAAAACTTTGTCAGAAAGCCTCTTATGTAGGAATAAACTGGACAGAACATTAGGCAATACATGATCCTGAAAATATCATTTACACTACAATAATCTTGATCATTTCATAGCATTTAAACTGGTGCTTTTCATTAATATAAAATTTCAATGCAGTTTTCTATTCATTCAATCCACTGGCATGAATCACATCCAACGTGACACAGCACAAGATAGAATAACTGCGAGCTCCTCGACTAAAAAAAATGGATTCTGTTCAAACCGGCAGCCTTGATTCATGAGAACAAGTCGAGGCTCCATCCATTTGCATTCTTCATTTCAGGCGATGCTGTAAGGAATGAATGAAATGAAAAGCCATTTAAAAGATACACAGACTTACTGTTGTGGGCCAAAGCTTTGAGTAGGCAATCCAAGCAGCCCTCCACGCTGTCTGAAGCGCCTGCCGATGACAGCTTCAGCGTCTTCAGGGCTTCGCTTAGGTTATCTGCTGATGGACGACAAATAACAGCTTTAGATCTTCAGTAGCTACAAACTATGCACAATATATCGTTTCAGCATCCGTGTCGCAATGTGTGCATCCACAATAGTATCCTAGTTTTAGGAGCAACAAACAATAACTTGACTTCTAGTTGATCATTTGGTATCAGAAGTGGCTTATATGTATAGCAAAGGCCTCTGGATTACGCTTATTTAACCACAATAAAATATGATCATGCCTCGATTTTTAATTATTTAATTAGGACAGTAAGGTCTGACTTTGCTTAGACAAAAGTCTTGTCACTTAACAGAAATAATGTCCAGTATAGAATATAAAGTCATGCTGCAGTGGAGACAGAATGAATAATGTGTCTGACTCCATCATGAGCTTGGAGGACTGCATCCATACATCTCTGACATGACTCAAATCACTGATTAATAAAGTCATCTGGAATGGCAAAGAAAGTGTTTTTACATTAAGATATTTGGATTCCTCTTTAATGCCTCTATCTTACCCCAGACATGCTCAATAACGTACATGTGTGGTGACTGGGCTGGCCAATCCTGGAGCACTATGACCTTCTTTGCTTTCAGGAGCTTTGATGTGGAGGCTGAAGAATGAGAAGGAGCGCTATCCTGCTGGAGAATTTGCCTTCTCCTGTAGTTTGTAATGTAATGGGCAGCACAAATGTCTTTATATCTCAGGCTGTTGATGTTGCCATCCACTCTGCAGATCTCTCGCACACCCCCATACTGAATGTAACCCCAAACCATGACTTTCCCCTCACCTAACTTGACTGATTTCTGTGAGAAATTTGGGTCCATGCTGGTTCCAATAGGTCTTCTGCTGCATTTGTGATAATTGGGATGCAGATCAACAGATGGGAAAATACCTTCTGCCACTTTTCCAGACGATCAACAATAAGTCAAGTTATAATTTGCCACACTTAAAACTGGGATAGACAACAAGACCTTTGTGAGGTAGTGTAGAGTCAAAGTTTGATTTAAAACTTAATTGATTTATTTCAATAACTGCTCAGAGAGTTACAGCCCCCTTGAATTAATGGCTCCCCTGTTTATTTTTTCCCCAATGTCTGTTTAACGGAGAGAAGATTTTTTCAACACATTTCCAATTTCCACTGATTTATTATATATATATATATATATACACGCACACACACACACACACACACACACACACACACACACACACATATATATATATATATATATACACATACATACATATATACATACATACATATATACATACATACATATACATATACATATATATATATATATATAAAATTTTATCTTTGCCATGATGACAGTAAATAATATTCGACTAGATATTTTTAAGACACTTCTATACAGCTTAAAGGGAGATTTATAGACTTAACTAGGTTAATTAGGTTAAATATAATGAAGGTTTGTTCTGTAGACTATTGAAAAAAGTATATAGCTTAATATAGGCTAATAATTTTGACCTTAAAATGGTGCTTAAAAAATTTAAAACTGCTTTCATTTTAGCCAAAATAAAACAAGAAGGAAAACTTTACATGAGCAAAAATAAATATAAAACATTTCAGTTAATGATATATATACGCATTAACTGAAATGTTTTATTTTGATTTTTGCTCATGTTAAGTTTCCTTTTATTAATCATGTTTCTGACTATTAAAAGACAATCAAATCCATCATCACATAATTATGTGTTTTACTACCATTTAATTAAACCATTAAAACAAAGTAAAGAAACAAATGCAAATCACGCAACTGAAAACATAATTTTCTAAAACATGGGTTTCGAATAGCCCAACATAAGGTGCAGTCCATCCAATAACACATGTATCATAGTCTATTTATATTTCATACAATATTTAATATAAATTTCAAAGGAGTCTAACTTATCAACATGCTTAAATACCTGTTTTAAGCAATCGATTAAATGCCTTCTGTTGTTTAACTAAATAACAGTGTTTATACTTGTTTAAGCGTTCAACTTTTGTCTTTTTGTTGTAAAATAAGTGTATAGTTCATCTTAAACATAAATTCAAGAACATAGACTTAATTGTTAGTAATATTTCCTTATTAACTCTTACTGTACTCAATGTGATTATCAACAGCAAATCTTATTTTGGAAGGAAATGTATCATGTTAATCTCAATCGTCATCATTGTATTGCACTGCATTATACTGTATACATACCCTACAGCTTTGTTTATAAAAATTAACAGCATTGTACCAAGGCATCTCAGTGCACATAAATAGTTAAAATAATATATGCTGTTATGAAAGTTTGCATTGCAGATTTACTTGTTGGTTATATAAATATACTGCACCATACTGCATATTATCAGCATATTTTCACACAGTTTTGCCTCGGAAAGTGTTTCTCCCCCCTTGTAATCTTCTTATATGAGGCATAAAAGCCTGATGTGTCAAATATAAAACACTGCAAATAACATAGACATGACAATATTTTCAGGATATGAGTGACCTTGGATTTTTGGCAGCACAATGCTTTTCTATTTGATTTTAAGGAACATATGTCATCATTTTAAAGCCATTTTAATAGGCAGAAAAGTTTGAAATAATATGACAAGGGCAGAAAGCAACCAATTAGAGTGCGAATAGTGAGTCTACAGTTCACTTGTCACTTTCATAGAAATGGCTGAAGAAAGAAAAGCCTACCTCCCATTAATAGATTTCAACAAATAAGCCTAAGATTAAGGCCAACAGAGACAATGCGTCAGATGTATTAGTGATTTTAGTTGGAACTGTAACCAAGGAGACCAAAGAACAGGAATGTAATTAGGATAGATCGATCAATCAAATCTTAAAATAAATTAAATCACATCAAGCATCGATCCAAGTCAAGTAAATGAATCCAAGTCAAGTCCAATCAATTAATTCAAAATCAATCAATCAATCCAAATCAAGTCAAATCTCGTCAAGTTTAGTCAATACAAATCAATCAATCAATCATTTAATAAATCAAATCAATCCAAATGAAGTAATGTCAAGTCAAGTCAGGTCAATCCAAATCAAGTCTAGTTAATCTAAATCAATCAATCAATAAAACCAATCCAAATCAATTCAAGTTAACCCAAATCAATCAATAAAACACTAGTCTATTCTAGTCTCGTCAAGCAAATCCAAAGCAATTAAATCAAATTCAAAGTCAAGCCAATCAACCAAAATCAAGTCAAATCAAATATTAAATCCATCAAATCTGATTTGATTAAATAATGGTATAATTCCTATTGTTTCTTTTAACACTGCATGTGGTCCCAAACATGTGCAGTGTGAATCAATGCAGTGTTAAAATGTTACTGCTAGATGTTCAAAAAAAGACAAGCCCAATCACATATTCACACGTTTTAGACAGTCACAAAAATCTTTCAGCATTTTACACAAGCAGCCATTGTTGTGTTTGAAGGGAAAGATGTCGAATTTAAATGCATTGATTTGAGTGAAAAAGAGACATTACAGTCTAAAAAGTCGAATCAAGAAAAACTTGTTTAAAACTGGCAGCGTGTCATATGAGGTTACATGCTGCATTTGAAAGAGTGTTGGTATTAAATCAGCAGTTTTAGATTTGTTAAGGTGATGATGGATGAAATAGACAACATGAACATTGTTAGCTGCTAAATATTATTGTAATTGTGTGTGCATAATAAGTCCTTATTAAGATATTGCTCATATATATATTTTTCCTACAAACTGCAAAAGGGTTAGATTTACTTATTTGTATAGCAATCCAAGCAGCTTTGCAGAGGGTGCAGTTTATTACATTACAGTCAAAGCTAGCACCCTTGAAAAATTAGAAATATTTTTTGTTTTGCTTTTTATTGCCAACAGAACAAACCAACTCAGGCTCAATCTGAAAACATAGTCCCGTGGACCTTTCTGGAGATTGCGAATTATGTAGCCGGAGGTACGTATGGCTGCATTTCATTTTTAAGTGAACGCTACGGGGTGGTATGATGCCGTTCCTCTTCACGCTTACCAGCTGACCGCTTACATCGTGCGGAGGGCTTTCCCGCCGCAACCAGTTTGTCCATTTAGCTCGTCGTGTACATCGGCGAAATCGAGACACAGAGAAAAGCTGACCGCGACAACGACCGGCTTCGAGTCTGGGGAAGAGCGCTTCTAGAAATCAGGTAAGAATCCAGAAAACAAAGTGAACAAGTTCATAACAGGGTGAGAACGTGGTAAAATTCGAAAACGTGGTAAAAATTAGACGAGGGCTTTTTTTTTTCTGGACGGCTTTTGTAAATCGTCGGTTGGGTTTAGGGAAGTAAGTGGGTCCGCGGATCAATCAGTAAAATTGGTTGGGTTTAGGAAGGAGGAGGGTGGGCCAGTCGATTGGCTGGTCGCCCAGTCAATCATTCAGTCAGTCAGACAAACGGTCGTTCGACAGCGGCCTCTGATGAGTTAATGTGAGAACAGCGCGGGCGGGAATGGCACTCGCGAGAGAAATTTGAGAAACGAAAAAGCGCACAAAGCGGCCTCTCGTGGATTGGCAAAAACAAAAACTGCAAAAATAAGTAACTCCCGGGACATATTTAGCAGTCTCCAGAAACGTCCACGGAGTTAAAACAAACCACTGTTGTCCAGTGTCTTGCCTAATTAACCTGACTTGCCTAAATTGCAATTTAAACAGTAGTATCTTGCAAAATAGCAAGTAAAATATTAAATACTATCAACATGGCAAAGACAACGGTAGTTAGTTATTAGTGAATAAATATTATGTAAAAAATGTGTAGACAAAAAAATTTTCTCCGTTAAACAATGCAAATGAAATGTTTAGAAGAAGTACAAAAAAGTCACAGGAGGGCTAATCATTTGGGCCCTATCATACACCCGGCGCAATGTGGCGCAAGGCGCAACGCAATTGCTATTTGCTAGTTTTAGCTTGGTGTAAGAGTTGTTTTGACGTTTTCCGCCACGCTGTATAAATAGCAAATGCATTAGCGCTCATATGTGCGCCCATAGGCGTTCTGGTCTAAAAATGAAAGCGTTCTGAGGCGCATTGCTGGCGCGATGCTATTTTGAGAAACTATAATAGATTTTTTCATTAGACCAAAACAAAGCCGGTCTAAAGTCGAGCGCAGAGCGCGTTAGTTTTGCTCCTCGCTTACACACTGCTTAATACAAACAAGATGTAGAGCAATACATACGCAAATATCTTTACACATGAAAAAGATTTAAAATATTAAGGATATATATATAGGATATTATAAAGATATATATAGGATATAAATATAAAGGAATAAAATATTTAAAAACATATTATTTTCCAGCCTACATAAATATAAATACCACTGCCTTCATGCCTTCTTCATCTCAGGAGGCTTTTTCAGTTCTTTCATAACAATTCACTTTTGTATAATGTTATTATTATTAGCAGTATTATTTATTATATCCATATTCATATTTGTTTTATTAAAACAAGCTTAGATTTGTCCACTTGTCTGGTGTCAGACCATATGGGGCACAGCATGTGTATTAGAATACAACTCAGCTTTTTGAGCACACTTCGTTATTATTGTTCATTTATTTGTTTGCTGGAAATTAGAACTGAATTTAGAAATAGTTTTGAAACAAATCTTTGTACTTAACAAATGAAATTAATTATTTAATGGCTAATTGATGTCTGTGTGTACAAGGTTTCCCTATCCACGAGAGCGAAAGTAGATTATGAGATGCCTCATCTCTCATTCTCGTGCTGTAGATGCTCTGTTAAACTGTTTTCTTGCTAGTGAAATGCTCCGTTTTTCCACCTACACTTACTTTGCGTCCTGTAAATAGCAAATGCGCTTATGGTGCGACGCAACGGACTCTTAAAGGGAATGGGGGATGAGACTCTGATTGGTTTATTCTCAAAACACACCTATAACTCATTAAGAAAATAAACACAACCATTTTAGACCATGCGCCACGGCGCAAAGCGGATTTTTCCATGCTTAAAATAGCCAAATTGGGTTCTGACACGACCCTTAAAGCATTTGCGCCCTGTGCTATGCGCATGGACCATCAAAATAGAGCCCCTAGTCTTGCTGCTTGTTCAAACTACTTATTTAAAGAGAGTTGAAAGTTAAGTTAACTTAATCAATTTGTGTTGGGACAACATGAATGAATTGTGTGGAACCCAGTATTTTTACAGTCCTAGAATGACTTGTGGGATCATTTTCAGCTCTGGGGGAACTATTTCATTAACAGCACACAAGAGGTGCTAACGCTGCCCTGAAGAAGACTTTCTCAACTACCTAAAAAAAGAGGTGCTAACAGGAGTGAAAAGTTCCTTTTACCCAGGGTTAAAAGTGGTGTTTAGAATAGCGATAACCCGTGGTTACAGTAAGTGCAGTGTGAAAAGTCCTTTAATAAGACACAAGCAAAATTCTGAAGGCTGCTGCTGTAGAAAATCAACAAGCTGACAGGATGACTTTGAAAGAGGTTTATGACTTCAAAACCACATTAGCACGATTTAATTGACTAAAGTGAACAAGGTTGTACTTTGATAGTCATTGGCTGCTAATGTGATTTAGGATTTCCAAAGAATATTCTGAAATTATGTCTAAATGAGCGAATATAGGGCGTCACGGTGGCACAGATCGCCTAACAGCAAGAAGGTCACTGGTTCAAGCCCCGGCTGGGTCAGTTGGCATTTCAGTGTGGAGTTTGCATGTTCTCTCCATGTTCGCGTGGGTTTGCTCCGGGTGCCCCCACAGTCCAAAGACATGCGCTATAGGTGAACTGAATCAACTAAATTGGCCTTAGTGTATGTGTGTGAATGAGTTTGTATGGGTGTTTCCCAGTGTAGGGTTGCTAACAAAAGAGCAACCGCTGCATAAAACAAATGCTTGCACTATATACTGTTCTATATCTGGTTTGCACTCAATGCCATATGCCCTTAATGTCATTGTATTGTATTGTTTACCAATTTTTATTCTTTACGTATATTTTTAGACTACATTTTATGTATAATTGTATTCATTGAAAATTCTTAAAACTCTTCTGTTTGTATCAGTATTATATGTTTGAGAGTAACGTAATTTCGATTCTCTATATATCCTGATCATGTGGTTGAATTGACAATAAAGCTGACTCTAACTTGACTTTGACTTGAAAAGTTGTCGGTTCATTCCGCTGCGCAGACCCCTGATGAATAAAGAAACTAAGCCGAAAAGAAAACAAATAAGCAAATATAAAACCAACGTTAACTCAATGTGCCAACTGAGATAAAGCTGGCTGTATATTCGCACAATTCGTTCAGTAACTAGTGTCTCTAAATTGTTCACAATGCTACTATTCGTTCTGACTTCAAGACGTTAATATGATTTCCCCGATTTTAAATTAGCAAACAATACAAATCTGAAATTATATGATTATATAACAAATATATATATAACCACACTAGTGTATCAGGATAAATATTTCTGATTCCCCAGCCCATCCCACCATCACAACATTGAGCGTATGTCTGCTTACATGTGACCTCCTTTTCTGCAGACTCACCATCTTACAATTGCATGATTCTTCACATTTATTTTCAATCACACACACACACACACAAGCAGATCCAGCTACAAATCTCCCAAAAATCTAGTTCACATATTGGTGTCAGGTATTACATCACAAGCTGTCAATCACACTCAGAAATATGAACTGATCGATTACTGTGTATCTGAATGAAGCTATAGTTGCAAACACAAATCTCGAAAGCTGTTTTTAAGCTAATGTCTATCACCTCAGCAAAACAAGACGACTATAATTAGCCCAAAAGATGAAGGATGCAGGATGATGAGCATGTGTTTGTGAATGATCCATGGCAACGTTACATCACAACCTCCCGAAAATGAAGATGAGTTTCTGCAGGGTCTGAATAACATGACGATTTGAACAGACATGCTTTGATTTTTGTATGTTAGCTCAACATCCTCATTACTACCTAACACACACACATACACACGCACATTTAACGTTACTAGTGTGTGTTTATTATTTATAAAATCTTGTAACATCTGTAAATATGCTAGTTTTGCTTGACTTACCCATCTGGCTAGCGTTTGTTATAGTCCAAACGGTCTCGGACAGTAGTCTCTGGAGGATTGGCTGTGCTGGTTGTGTCTCGAGGCGGGTACTGGATCGGTTTTGGTTCGCTTGTCAGACAGATATCCGGGCAAGGCCCACCTTAACCCACGCTGCTCCGGTGAAAACAGCCTCTGGAGCTCCTGGTGTGCCGGGGAGACGCATACACCCGGGACAAACCCCTCTGTGTGATAGCGGGGATTACGTAATATTTTTTAATAGGCGACCAGGACGAAAGCTCATGTGCATCAAAATAAAAAAATCCAGGTTCGCTTCAGATATACTTCCTTCTAGTGAGCAAACCGTCTGGTTCTCTGCACAGCAGACAGACGAGAGCGCTGAAGCCCCTCCTTCCTCGCAGCTCATTGGCTTGTGAGAAGTGCAGCAGGTTCTTGTCTGTGCGGTGATTGGTATACTGGGTTCTCAATAAAAATTTCAAACCACGCCCTCTAATGCTTTGATCGAATCTGATAGTTATGTTACAACTCAAATGAGAAATGAGAAGTGTGTGAGTCGTTTACGCGAATCGGTTCTTTGGAACAGGGCTGCAAAAATGAATCGTTTGTATAACATCAGTGTATTACTTGGTAAGTAAAGAATTAAACATACACAAAAATGATTCGTTTGTATAACATCAGTGTATTACTTGGTAAGTAAAGCATTAAACATACACAAAAATGATTTGTTTGTGTAACATCAGTGTATTACTTGGTAAGTAAAGCATTAAAAATACACAAAAAGGCCTAATTTGTGTAACATCAGTGTATTGCTTGGTAAGTAATGCATTAAACATACACAAAAAGGCCTAATTTGTGTAACATCAGTGTATTACTTGGTAAGTAAAGCATTAAACATACACAAAAAGGCCTAATTTGTGTAACATCAGTGTATTACTTGGTAAGTAAAGCATTAAACATACACAAAAATGCCTAATTTGTGTAACATCAGTGTATTACTTGGTAAGTAAAGTGTTAAACATACACAAAAATGCCTAATTTGTGTAACATCAGTGTATTACTTGGTAAGTAAAGTGTTAAACATATGCAACAATGATTAATTTGGTAAATAAAGTGTTAAACATACACAAAAATGAATAATTTTGTTAAATAAAGCATTGAACATACACAAAAATGATTAATTTGTGTAACCCCAATGTATTACTTGGTAAGTAAAGCGTTAAACATACACAAAAATGCCTAATTTGTGTAACTTCAGTGTATTACTTAGTAAGTAAAGTGTTAAACACACATAAAAATGATCCATTTGTGTAACATCAGTGTATTACTTGGTAAGTAAAGCATTAAATATACACAAAAATGCCTAATTTGTATAAGATCAGTGTATTACTTGGTAAGTAAAGCATTAAATATACACAAAAATGCCTAATTTGTATAAGATCAGTGTATTACTTGGTAAGTAAAGCATTAAATATACACAAAAATGCCTAATTTGTATAAGATCAGTGTATTACTTGGTAAGTAAAGCATTAAATATACACAAAAATGCCTAATTTGTATAAGATCAGTGTATTACTTGGTAAGTAAAGCATTAAACATACACAAAAGTGCCTAATTTGTGTAACATCAGTTTATTACTTTGTAAGTAAAGCATTAAACATACACAAAAATGAATCGTTTGTGTAATATCAGTGTATTACTTGATAAGTAAAGTGTTAAACACACATAAAAATGATCCATTTGTGTAACATCAGTGTATTACTTGGTAAGTAAAGCATTAAATATACACAAAAATGCCTAATTTGTATAAGATCAGTGTATTACTTGGTAAGTAAAGCATTAAACATACACAAAAATGAATCGTTTGTGTAATATCAGTGTATTACTTGATAAGTAAAGCGTTAAACATACACAAAAATGCCTAATTTTTGTAACATCAGTGTATTACTTGTTAAGTAAGGCGGCAAACATACACACACATATATAAATATATAGTTAGCTGTTTATATACTAAAACTCATTTATTCCTTTATTCATTCGTCTTGTAAGTTTACTTTCAATGAACTCACATTTATACTCATGAACTGGTGAACTCTATTGTTACACACATGTAGAAAACAGTACTGTAGGTATGAGTGTCAACTAGTTTTAGTCACACCACTCACTGTATAATAATATGGCGCCCTCTGTTGGATAATTGCAGTCTTACATGTAAATAAACAATGCAATTTTTCCTTGTAATTCTGTAACTGTGCGAGCAAATATAAAATTATAAAATGTAACTACGATAATAAATTGATTTATCATTTTATAATAGTTCTAATGTCTGATGTTTATGGCCTAGAACAACTGCACATTTGTTAATGTAATTGTTTATTAATTATTAATGCAATTCCCAGAAATTGAACAGATTTTTGATGGTATTATTAGTTTTCTCTGGTATAATCTAACATTTTTTATTGGCTCAAGATATGTGTAAAACTAAACAGCAATAAATAAATTGAGGGGAAAAAAGTGTTGATATTAAACATTTAATATTTTACCCCCATTTATTTTCTATATAAAAAATTATAGTCAGGACAATTTCAATAAAAAAAGAAATGTTTACTGTTTTGGCCACATTGTCTCAGATCTATGATCTCCATCTGCTTTGTAAATATTTTTACCTATTTATAATTAATCTTCACGATTATTCATTTCACATATTGATATAACTTACACAGATTTTATTATACAATATTGTATAGGTTAATTTTTAATAATTAATTTAAAATAATTTTTACCATATTTTCTTCTATATATGTGTAACTTTTAAACTGATACTCAAGGGTTAAAAATCATCTTGTGGTATTTAATTTATTAATATTTTCCCTTCTCCTTCTCTATCACCACAAAGCATCATCATTTTCTGTCTACAAACGTAACAACTCTTTCTGAAGGTTTTGCAACTATCAAATCTAACCAATCAAATAGTGCACAGTTAAATTAACCATGATATGTTCTGTATAGTTAAAAGGTGACTTTTATTTTGTTTTTAAATGTCAGGAATTTATGTATTTATTTATTTAAAAATTAATTGCCTGTCACAATTCATGGGAGGAATTTGTCAAAAATAAATAAATAAATAAATAAATAAATAAATAAATAAATAAATAAATAAATAAATAAATAAATAAATAGCAAAACAGCATTCAGCACAGGGTGGCAGTATCACACTAGAGCAGACGCTTTCACTGAAAAAATATAGATCTTCTGTATAATCTACTCTGCTACTAACCACTAACGTGTTTAAGTAGTGTGAAACTATTGACTAGGTGTGTTTCAGTTGTTAATAAAATGGTATTTTGACACACATCATTCAGGCCTGTAGTCAGCCTGGTAAAAGGGGTGCTTCTTTTTTGTTTTGTTATTTGTTTTATAGCTTTGAAACATTACATAAAGTATAAATACAATAATTCAGATATATGCTATATCCAAAAACATTACTATTGTTACAACAACAACAACAACCAGAAATGATAATGAAGCAAAAACATAAGAGGAGAAAAAAAAGTAATAATAATAAAAAATAAAAAATTGTTACAAAATACTTCTATACATATAAACAAAAATAATAACTTAGGATACAATCATCGACTACAGCGGGGGATCAGAACTAGAGAAAAATTCCTTCATGAAATCTAACATTAAATCATTATTTTTGTTTTTAATTTGCATTAGAGACTTTTTCAAATTTTCCATTTCTGAAAGGGCTGCTTCTTTTTCTTAAAATATAGACCTTTTTGCAGTCATTAGCCTCATTTTCTATCTAATTATGAGGTTTAAAAACTTTTTAAGCACTATTTTTTGCTGGATTAGCTTGTCAGAGCTTAGCATTTTTGATGTAGGCTACCAAAAACATTTCCTAAAGATTTAGAAGACAAAAAAAAAAAAAATCAGAGAATCATATTTATTTTTTTAATATAAATTTCTTACATCATATATCATTAGAAAAAAGGATGCTGTTCAAGTTTTAAATGAAAAAAACTAGCCCATGTCATATATTAGGCAGACACAAACTGGCCAGCACATTCAACTTTCCTCAGTCAGGCTGAAGCAACAGCCAACAGAGGATTCCGCTTGGTCTTAAAGCCTTCTTCGATTGTTATTTTCACAATTTATTATGGCATAGCAGTCAAAATAGGACAAATGAGCTCATGTATGGGACAAATTCTTGACCTTTGTCAGTGAGGACTCTTACGAGTCTACGGCCCCCCATTATATTATCCTTTAATTCCATTATTAAAGTAGGTATATTGTCTGCCAGTACAAATACATTTTAAATACACTGACGAAGGCCTGATATTGCAGCCAATTAATGGTCATCAGAGCAACATGGAAGCATACAAATCGTTTAGCATTTTGTTTGAGGAACTAAATATCGATTTAAATGTCTTAATTTCCTCGTTTAGTCTCCAAAGTTCGTCATAAAACAAACATCTAAACACTGGAAATCACCCAAAGACAATTATTACCAAAGAGCAAATGTGTGAACGTGCTTTCCTCTTAATCCGAGTGTTAATTCTTAACCTGAACAAACATAATTATATCAATAAGAAAAAGAAAGCAAACTCATTCATTTTCTTGTCGGCTTAGTCCCTTTGTTTATCCTGGATCGCCACAGCGGAATGAATCGCCAACTTATCCAGCAAGTTTTTACGCAGTGGATCCATCTCTGGGAAACATCCACACATACATTCACACACACACTCATACACTATGGACAGAAACACCAACTGACCCAGCCTTGGCTCAGTTGGCATTTCTGTGTGGAGTTTGCATGTTCTCCCTGTGTTCGTGTGGGTTTCCTCCGGGTGCTGTGGTTTCCCCAACAGTCAAAAGACATGCGGTACAGGTGAATTGGGTAGGCTAAATTGTCCGTAGTGAATGAGTGTTTGTGAATGTTTCCCAGAGATGGGTTGTGGCTGGAAAGGCATTCGCTGCGTACAAACCTTTTACAGTCTATGGTAAAAACGTGCTGGATAAGTTGGCGGTTCATTCTGCTGTGGCGACCCTAGATATATATATATACATATACTATTTACAAGTAGGCCTACTGTAATACACTTTATAGTTTTATCTACAGCAAACTGTGGTGTATTGTTGTATAATAATACTCACATGGCATCTCTTGCCCAGCTCTGCCCCACACAACCAGCTGTTGCAAGGCCCACATGCCGTAGTGAATTACGGTACATGACTGGACCAAGTCTGGCTTCCAGACAAGGGCCAAACATGGACCATCTGGGCCAAGTCTCAGCCAAGTTAATAACCCATAGTTGGGCCTGAACTGATATGTTGGTGTGTCACGACTGCAATGAAATTGATAAACCCATTGCCCTTTAGGTGTGCTATGGGCGTGCTTTTTCTCAAAGCGACCTGATTGGTAGAATTTTTTCCTTTATTCAAATTATAATTATAAAATATACATATTAAAAATGTATTTTAAATGTGGGTCGTTCATTCATTCATTCATTTTCGTTAGTCCCTTTATTAATCTGGGGTCGCCACAGCGGAATGAACCGCCAACTTATCCAGCATATGTTTTACGCAGCAGATGCCCTTCCAGCTGCAACCCATCACTGGGAAAAATAAGAGAATGTACACATAGCCCAAATAATCATAACCAAAAGTAGAGTTTTGAGTTTAGAGCATCTGCTTGTATAGACGGCTACAAAGCAAATGAACAAGAAACAGGTGGACATAGTAGGTAACCATGGTAATAAACAGGCACAACTTTAGAATCTAAGGGGTTACAGTATACTCATTTATTAAAATAAAGGTAAAATTACACACTGTAAATTGAACATTTTTGCTTTGTTTTGCTTGCAGATGGCAGCATGGAGTGTGGTTTTCACATATGATGCACTCGTAATGTATTCCTCTCAGTGTTCATGTATGGTCATGTGAGGAAGCCAAAAGAAGGGAAATCAGAGTTCAGGTTTATAATAAACGACTGAGCAAAGGTTATCAAGAAGAGAGAGGGAGAAGAAGAAGAAACGTTTTACTGTAACACACATTAGAAAACATGAACAAAGCATACTGTAGTGTTTTAGCAATATCATTAACCTACAAGAAAGATACATGCTTTCTGAACTCCAATACACACTTAAATGCGTTGTATTAACCCAATAATGGGTCAAATATGGCCAATAATTAACATTTTTCCACCCAACTGTTGGGTTTATCCACATTTGACCTAACGTTTTGAATAAAACAACCCTTTTTTGTCATGTGAGGAGGCGAAATGAAGGGAAATCAGAGGTCAGGTTTGTAATAAACCAGGGGTTCCCAAACTTCAGCCCGTGCCCCCAAAATGACAATGCCAGTGACTTGCGACCCCCAATATCCTCTGAGGTGGTTATAAATACAGAAACCTGGCATGCAATGGGGCACACACACCAATAGACCCAAGTCTATTCTTCAATTAATTTTTTAAATGTATGTAAGTGCTGTAAATGTGCCAGAAAGTTTAACCTGGTGTTATAAAATCAATCTGCTGCATCTGACGCTATTGCTGTGTCTTTAATATAATGTAATTACCCGCAACCCAATAGTAATATAAGCTACTATAGTAACTGTATAGTATATAGTAACTATAAATAAAAAAATTCTCTTTAGTAGGTTATGGATAATATATGGTCATTCTTATTGTTTAATAAAAATAAATAGATTTTTGGAAATCACCAGGCGACCTCCCTTCATTGTCCTGCGACCCCTCAGGGGGTCCCGACCCCCACTTTGAGAACCACTGTAATAAACGACTGAAGGTTTTCAAGAAAAGAGACCGAGAAAAGATAAAAAGTAAAACACATTAATAACATAAACATTTTTTTTTATCAGAATAGCTTAGCATGATTAGCCTAAAGATAGGTAGCTAATGCTCTCTGAATTCCAATACACAATGAAATGCGTTGTATACAACAAAATACAGCCAATAATTACAATTAATTTCACCCAACTGTTGGGTTTGTCCACATTGGACCAAACGTTTTGTTTAAAACAAGCCTTTTTTCCTGTTTTTGTTATGTGAGAAGGCGAACCCTACTGAAAAAAAACAGCTTAAACCAGCTTAGGCTGGTTAGCTGGTTTTAGCTGGTCGACCAGGCTGGTTTTAGAGTGGTTTTGGCCATTTCCAGGCTGGTTTCCAGCCATTTCCAGCCTAGTCTTAGGTGGTCAGGCTGGAAGATGAGCAGCTAAAACCAGCTTGACCAGCCTAGCCAGATTGGGAGCCCAGCCAAAACAAGCTATGTCCAGCTTAAACCAGCCTGGTCAAGCTGGTTTTAGCTGGATTTAGCTGGTAATTTTCCAGCCTGACCAGCTAAGACCAGACTGGAAATGGCTGGAAACCAGCCTGGAAATGGCTAAAACCCCTCTAAAACCAGGCTGGTTGACCAGCTAAAACCAGCCAACCAGCCTAGGCTGGTATAAGCTGTTTTTTCAGCAGGGAAATGAAGAAAAAACTGAGGTCAGTTTTGCAATAACAACTGAGCAAAGGTTATCAATAAGAGAGACGGAGAAGAAGAAATGTTTGACTTTTATAGAACACATAAAACACACATTAAAACATAAACATAGCTATTTTTTTCCATCAGGATGGCTTAGCAATATTATTAGCCTAAAGATGGGCTATGTCTGAATTCAAACACACTAAAATGTGTTGTATTAACCCAACAATGAGTCAATAATGGGCAATAATTACAATTCTTTTCACCCAACTGTTGGGTTTATCCACATCTGACCCAACGTTTTGGTTAAAACAACTCATTTTTTGTCATGTGAGGAGGCGAAATGAAGAAAAAGAAATGAATATAAACGACCGAGCAAAGGTTATCAAGAAAAGAGACGGAGAAAATAGAAACAGCAGCAGCAGATCATCATCACTTCACCCCTCCCTCTCTACCGACAGCAGCTCCACCGTAAACCGCCTCGGTTTTTTATTATTCTCCGCCGGTCGACCGTCAGTCTCAAAGCTCCGAGCCTCGCCATATTCTCTCGCCTGCTCACAGATTAAACTCCATCATGGAGATGCTGGGGAAGAAAGAGCGGAGAAGCAGAGATGTGAAGGGTTTGCTGAAGAGGAACTGGATTCTCATTGCAACCATCATTGCGGTCATTCTGGGTAAGAGACACCGTTCATTTATTGAGCATGTTTCTCAATGCATATTTGTTGCTATCATTGTTGAGCTCTAATACGTCTCGTCGTTAATTATGTATCGTTTTATTATTGCTTCACTGTCTGTGGTGCTGCATGATGGCTTTACACCGCAAACAGTCGCTGGTTTGACTATAAGAGTAGGCTAATTAAAGTATTGCACATTTAATGCACGTATCTGCAGGTGTGTTGATGGGTGTATGTGATGAATGAAGGCATTGATCTGTATGTGTGTGTGTCCGTCTGTATATGTGTGTGTGTGTCCAGATATTTTACTACTGCCACAGAGAAACGTGACCAGACTCCCAGTATGACACTGTAAAATCCCTGTTTAAAGCAATGACATGACAAAATATTTAGGAAAATCCTCGGCTAACAAAGCGTTCCTGATAACGCTTCGTTATGAAAATCTGATTTTTGAATGTACTCTGTTTGGCTATGCAAACGTTGAGGGAACATTGTTTCATTGTTTTGTTTAAACATTATGAAAACTTGTCCTGTGAACGTCCTAAAGCAATTAGCAACATATATATGAGCCTTTGAATGTCCAACTAATGGATTAAAAATGTTCTCATGTTCTCAAACCAGATAACTTTAAATGACATTTATATTCAGTGAGGCTCTAAATATAAACACACACACACACACACACACACACACACACATATATATATATATATATATATATATATGTGTGTGTGTGTGTGTGTGTGTGTATTATATATATATATATATATATATATATATATATATATATATATATATATATATGTATGTATGTATGTATATGTATATATATATATATATATATATATATATATATATATATATATATATATATATTAAATTATTTGCTTCTCGGCTAAGTCCCTATATTAATCTGGGGTTGCCACCGTGGAATGAACCACCAACTTATTCAGCATATGTTTTACACAGCGGATGCCCTTCCAGCTGCAACCCATCACTGGGAAACACCCATACACTTGGAGGAAACTCACAAGATATATGTGTGTGTGTGGGCTACGTGGTGGTGCAGTAGGTAGCACGTTCGCCTCACAGCAAGAAGGTTGCTGGTTCGAGCCTCTGCTGGGTTAGTTGGCATTTCTGTGTGGAGTTTGCATGTTCTCCCCATGTTTGCGGGGGTTTTCTCCGGGTGCCCCAGTTTCCCCCGCAGTCCAAAGACATGTGGTACAGGCGAATTGCTGAATATGCTAAAATTGACCGTACTGTATGTGTGTGAATGAGTGTGGGTGTTTTCCAGTGATAGGTTGTGGCTGGAAGGGCATCCGGTGTGTCAAACATATGCTGGATAAGTTGGCGGTTCATTCCGCTGTGGCGACCCCAGATTAATTAGGGACTAAGTTGAAAAGAAAATGAATGAATGTGTGTTCCAGCTATCTAAATTTGTAATTTGTGTGCCATTTGTTTTTTATTTGCTCATTTTTGGGCATTTCAACAAGGCATGTGCCGGTATAAGTTTCTGAGGGTATGATAAACTTGGATAAAAATATCATGGTTTCATGGTATTTACTGCTGTAAAATAATTACTTTTTAAATGTCTTAGGAAAAAAAACAGCAACTTTTACCCTCATTTAACACAATATATTAAATTTTAGGAAACATTTCTTTCCTAAAATATACAATATATTCATTCATTCATTTTCTTGTCGGCTTAGTCCCTTTATTAATCCGGGGTCGCCACAGCGGAATGAACCGGCAACTTATCCAGCATGTTTTTACACAGCGGATGCCCTTCCAGCCGCAAACTATCTCTGGGAAACATCCACACACACACACTCATACACTACGGACAATTTAGCCTACCCGATTCACCTGTACCGCATGTCTTTGGACTGTGGGGGAAAGCGGAGCACCCGGAGGAAACCCACGCAAAGGCAGGGAGAACATGCAAACTCCACACAGAAACGCCAACTCAGCCAAGGTTCGAACCAGCGACCCATCGACCTTCTTGCTGTGAGGCGACAGCAGTACCTACTGCGCCACTGCCTCGCCCTATATAATATATATTATAATGAAATATAATAAAATAAAAATACATATTATATAATAAAATATGTAATATTTTGGAAGAGTAAACATGTCAGGCTACATAATTAAAACAAACCATTGACTTCAACTATCTTCATTAATTGTTTATATTTATATAGGGCTTTTTTAGACACTCAAAGCACTTTACACATTGGGGGAAATCTCTTCATTAGCTTCAAAAGCACAGATTTCCTTAAAACTCACAAAAAACACTACACATACCTTAGAAACTGTATAGCAAAACATTTAAGCGGTTTTAATACCTTGATTTTTCCAAACCACAGTATACCTTGAAAACGGTTATCATCCCATGCCTAATTCCAACTCAATATAGGTTTCACTTGATTAAAATAAATAACAAATGTCATCTCTCTCAGACCAATTGCGCATAAGTGTACAAACGCATTTACATTTCTACATTTCTAGCGAGCACTTCATGATAGCTACCGTGAGCTTAATATCTTGGAAGTAATCATGGTGTAAATAGTTATTAGTGCACGCAGCAGGCCAGTTTGTGAAGGCTTAGTCATCAAAACATTAACGGTTTAATGCTTGGCAAAATGCTCAGAACTGATAGACTGTCCAATAAAATCTCACTATTGCTCTATTAGGCATTTCCGAGCTGATCGGTGAGGCAATTAAGCAGCAGTCGTTGATTATTCGCTTAATGTATTCACTAGACTGAGAGAAAACATTATGATTGTGGTGATTTTTTTGCATAACTTGTTCTGTAATATATTCATACAGTACTGTTGTCAGTATTTCAAATCCTTACAATGTGGAGATATTATATGTAACGCTCAACATTCATGTAGTTTTAATTAAACAAGCCTTACTGTCATTGTACTGTCGTCCTGAAGATTCAGTGAGTCTAAGAGCTGGATTTGCAGTCAGTGTGCCGTCTGCCGTCACTCTCTGTTGCAGGGATTGGTCTTGGTGTGGTGGTGCGGGACTACACCTCTCTGACCCAGCTGGAGAAGCAGTACTTTGGCTTCCCTGGAGAAATCCTGATGAGAATGCTAAAGATGGTCATCCTGCCTCTCATCGTCTCCAGCATGATAACAGGTATCTGTGTGTGTGCGTTTACCTTGTATTCTTTACCAAATGTCCCCACGAATACAGAGATACTAGTACATTTTGTGTACATGTAGTGATATTCTTGGATCCCCATGAAGAAAACAGACCATAAATCACACATAATGAAAATAGTTTCCTGTGAGGGTTGTTTATATGTTGGGTTGGGGTAGGGGTTTGTATAAAAACCATTGCGTGTATTGGAAGTCCCCCTAAAGACAGCTCTAGGTGTGTGTGTGTGTGTGTCTCTCGTCAGCCCATCACAGTATCTTCATTTATGAGTGGTTGTAAATCTTGACCGTATGCTGCTGTTGTCCAGAGCCACCTTCGGAATGACAGCCTTGAATATTTAATTTCATTTACACTCTGAGCTGTGGAATGCTTGATTCTGATTGGTTGATGCACATTTCAAGGGGCTGTTCCCACGGAATGTGTTTTTCTTTCCAATGCGCTATTGTTTTTAATTTAAACACGTCCTTGATGGAGGTCACGCTCACGTCCTGCATCTTTTAATGTCTCGCACACATGAGCACCACGTTTTTTTAGCTGCTGTGTCACATTAAAAGATGTCATCAGTGTCAGTTCCAAACCAGTGGACCAATTAGAAGAGCTGAAGTGGGACATTATAATCATTCAAACGAATGGCGAAAGTAGTTCCAGGCAGGTTTTGACCACATTACACTTCCACATCACTATGCTGAATGATTTCAGTCATTTCACAGCTACAACAGTTCAAAAATGTATTTAAATTATTAGAAATTATTTTTAAAAAGTATTAATTTATTAGAAAAATAACGCATTGCATCATATCCGCATCAGCACCCCAGATGTGCATTATTCTACAGCCTGTCCGTAGTTGTTCCTTACTTAATTTTAACTTACTTTACCTTTAAGAGTTCACACTTAGATAATGCTCGACTATGATAGCAGGTTTGGCAAGCTGTCCCGGGAGAGAACCCTGAGCTCGGAGATAGATGAGCCCAAGGTTCCCACCTGGTTAATAAGCATAAGGAGGGATACGAGATCAGGTGTTTCTCAAGAGCCCCACAGTTAGTTTCTTATCAATGCTTTGGCTAATATGGTGGTTCTGATTGAATCAGTATGTATGCCTTAAGTGTTTGGGATTGTTATTATAATTCGCTTATGTACATGTTTTTAGACTGTGGGGGGAAACCGGAATACCCGGGAAATGGCATATACAATCCCATATTGGAAACAAATTGGGACAGTATGGAAAATGGAAATTAAAAAAATATATATATATTTCATGTTTGTTTTCTGGTCAACTTGATTTCATTTGTATTATACATCTTTTTCTGTCATTCAGACCTTCAACACATCCCAAAAAAAGTTGGGACCGGAGCACTTTAGGGCTAGTAATCAGGTAAATTGGTTAAATAATGTGATTTGGAACAGGTGATGTCAACAGGTGATTGTAATTATGACTTGGTACAAAAGCAGCATTCAAGAAAGGTCTAGTCCTTTAGGAGCAAAGATGAGCCGAGGATCGCCAGTTTGCCAACATGAGAAAATGATTGAAATGTTTAAAAGCAATGTTCCTTAGTGATGGTGAAATGAAGCTTTCTGAACCAGTGAAGCGCTCGACTCAATTGTATCGGAAAAAGGTTCGTTACTCGAAGCTTTCCAAATCAGAGCTCGATGAGGACCTCTTCTGGTGAAAGTGTGGGAAAGCACTGTGTTGCCATAATGTCAAATGTTCACAACTGACCAACTCATTCATGTAGTAATACAACAACAGTAATATAAACACATTACTCAATTACTGTAGTTTTACATAAGATATATGACATTACACAACTGATGATTGTAGTAAAATCCAAGGTATTTAAAAGTTTATCATAATACAATTGGTCCTGCTCCAAGTGGGGATCGAACCAGCGATTCCTGCATGGGAGGTGAGTATTCTAGGAGGAGGCCATGTGAATGATGTTTCAATATTGCACTCACCAGATGGTCTCTGTTAAACACAACACTACGATATGCGGTGGTTTTCTTTAAAGATAGTTGTAAAAAAAATACGCTAATACACTTTAGTATGGTTCAAAACCTTTTTACTAAAAATTACTATTGTATTTTAGTTTAATTACTGGTGTGTGGGACTGGTGCAGTGCTTTGAAACAAATGTATGTAATCGACGCCTAATCTCTCGCTATACACTTTAATATGAGGGTGTTTAAACCTTTGAATCAAAATTCGAAGCAGTCACGTGGGTATAGGCAAAAATGAAGCTTCGGACGTCACTGATCACGTGATGATGCCAAAACGAATCAAGCTCCGGTACACTGCTTCACTGCGAGATGTATCGTTTTTTTGATACATGCTTCGAAGCCTCGGCGCACAACGTCACGTCACTAATGTTCCTCAAAAAAAGATAAAATCAGTGCAAAACATCATTAAAAGCTTCATGGAATCTGGAGGAATTTCAGTGCGGCACTGCATCAAGAATCCTCATTCATCTAGAAGTAATATCATCACATGGGCTCAGGACTACTTTGGAAAACCTTTGTAAAGTATCACAATACATAGTTACATCTAGAAATGCCAGTGAAAACTGTACTGTGCCAAATGGAAGCCCTATGTTAACAGTGTCCAGAAGTGTCATCGACTTCTCTGAGCTCTGAGGCATGTGGGATGGACCGTCACACAATGTAAACATCTATTGTGATCAGAAGAATCAGCATTTTTGGGAGAAATGGATGCAGTGTGCTCTGGACCGAAGAAGAAAAGGATCATCCAGACTGTTACCAGCAACAAGTCCAAAAGCCAGGGTCTGTCATGGTGAGGTTGTGCCAGTGCCCATAGCGAAGGTAACATGCACTTCTTTGGTGGCGCCATTAATGCTGAAAAGTACATATGAGATTTTGGAGCACAATATGCTGCCTTGTTTTCCACTCTGCACACATTACAAAGTCCTGGCTGCGGAGGAAGAGGATACAGGTACTTGACTGGCCTGCCTACAGTCCCGACCTGTCTCCAATAGAGAATGTGTGGTGCATTTTGAAGCACAAAATATGACATCAAAGACCCCATACTGTAGCCCACCTTAAGACTTGTTTGTAGGACGAATGGGACAAAATAACACCTGAAACGCTTCATCACTTGATGCCTTCAGCCCCTAAACATCTTAAGTGTTGTGAAAAAGAATGGCAACATTACAAAGTGCTGAATGCTTTACTGATCCAACTTTTTTTTATTTGTTGCAAGAACCAAAATTGGAATAAGTGTTTGTTTGGATTTTTTATCTTTTTTAATGATGAGGAACAGATTACATGTGTGTTGTATTGTCTGCAATGAAATGCAAAGTCAAAGTAAATTTAGAAATCACCACTTTCTTTTTTTTATTTGCGTTTTCCATACTGTCCCAACTTTTGCTGATTTGGGGTTTTAATTAAAAGTAGGTATTTATTGAACATAAGTTTTCATTGACACAAAGAGTGTCAATCTTGCAGTCATCTCTTTATTGCTATACTACACAGGCAGAGGCATCCCTACATTTTTAGTTGGAGTTAGAGTTCAGTGGTAGGACACAAAAATATTTAGTAGTGCTTCAATTTTAGTGTTTCCCTTTACATTGCAACTAGGCCACGTTTTTAACTCGCGAGCTGCTTGTTCAGACAGAAAAGTAACTTTGCAACTAAGTGGCAAATTATTTTTCTAAACTTTTCTTTAGCAGAAGAGCCTACTAACTCCTTAATATTTGACATTTGCCAGGTAACGTGTACATTTCTAGGGTGTGTTAAGTCCACATAGAAAGACAATCCAGTGTTCTTATCATGTCTTCCTGCAAAAGCAATAAAGTTACTTACAGTTATCACTGATGATCAGCAAAAATGAGTTTATTTTTGCGATTACGCAGTAATGGCAGTACATTGACGTCATAGTCGAACAAGCTAACTTAGCATCTGTGATTATATCAGCACACTTAACATTTTTATTGACTGATTGGCAGTTAAGCCTAAAACTTGCCATCAATCAACGATAAACTAAAATCCACAATTAACTAAAACATGCTATAAAGATGGTAAAGCATGCTAGGATTTCTACAAACATAATATTTTGGAGTGATAACATGCTAACAGTGTGGTAAATCATACTACAGACATGCTAGTAGGCTAGAATCTGTCCATCTATCTATCTGTCCGTCCCTCTATCTATCTATCTATCTATCTATCTATCTATCTATCTATCTATCTATCTATCTATCTATCTATCTATCTATCTATCTATCTATCTATCTATCTGTCAGTCTGTCCATCCATCCATCCATCCATCCATCCTTTCATCTATCTATCTATCTATCTATCTATCTATCTATCTATCTATCTATCTATCTATTTGTCAGTCCGTCCATCAGTCCGTCAGTCCGTCTGTCTGTCTATCTATCTATCTATCTATCTATCTATCTATCTATCTATCTATCTATCAGTCCGTCCATCTATCAGTCCGTGCCTCTATCCATCCATCCATCTGTCTGTCTGTCTGTCTATCTATCTATCAGTCCGTCCCTCTATCCATCCGTCTATCTATCTATCTATCTATCTGTCAGTCCGTCCCTCTATCTATCCATCCATCCATCCATCCATCTATCTGTCTGTCTGTCTGTCTGTCTATCAGTCCGTCCATCTATCCATCTGTCTGTCTATCCATCTGTCTATCTATCTATCAGTCCGTCCCTCTATCCATCCGTCTGTCTGTCTATCTATCTATCTATCTATCTATCTATCTATCTATCTATCTATCTATCTGTCAGTCCGTCCCTCTATCCATCCATCCATCCATCCATCTATCTGTCTCTCTGTCTATCTATCTATCAGTCCGTCCATCTATCCATCCATCTGTCTATCCATCTGTCTGTCTATCTATCTATCTAACTATCTATCTATCTGTCAGTCTTTCCATCTATCAGTCCGTCCCTCTATCTATCTATCTATCTATCTATCTATCTATCTATCTATCTATCTATCTATCTATCTATCTATCTATCTATCTATCTATCTATCTATCTATCTATCTATCTATCTATCTATCTATCTATCTATCAGTCCGTCCCTCTATCCATTTAACTATCTATCTAATTGTTTTCAACCTAAACTTATTTCAAATTCCAGGCTCTCAAATCAACCTCAAAGTTTGCCTTGATAAATCTAGTTACACAAAAAACCACTACAAAATGTAAACCAGGGCACAGTTTAAAGATCCTTCATAATCTAGCTCTAGTGTTTTTCCTGACTGGAATGTTTTTGCATGTTTTCCCGTTGTCAGTGCTGAATTGATAATGATTTATGTTGCTGATAATGTCTAAGCCCATGTCAAGGGCAACGGCCGTTAGGAAAGCACAGTATAGGCGGATCTTTTTACAATGTAACTTGCATTGGTTATCGTTTCTTAGTTTAGATTAAGTGGGTCATTTGGAGAATGGATAAACGGTGTTAACCCGTGGCCTTTATTTTTCCTGAAGGAGTGGCAGCGCTGGACTCTGAGGTGTCGGGCAGGATTGGTCTGCGTGCAGTGGTTTATTACATCTCCACCACCATTATTGCCGTCATTCTTGGTGAGTCATGTCAACTTGACAGTTTTTCTCAGTCGCTCTGATACATTTCTTGAATTTTCCTTCAAAAAAATTAAAATAAATAAATTAAAAATCAAAGCTTTTCTTGTTTCTAATCCAAATATCTAAAAATTCTTTAATTGAGCATTTTTTGGACAAATAATTTTTTTTTCTTGTTTTAAGATGCAATATGCCAAAATTAAGAGCGCTTTTCCTCAAAACAGGCTAAATATTCTTATGTCAAAAGGAAAAACAAGATTATTTTGCTTGCTTTTTGAGACTTTCAATTCTCTCAGAAATGTATCAAAGCGGCAGAGGAAAAACTAAAATCTACACGTTTTTAAGAGACAGTTCACCCCAAAATGAAAATGGTCACGTCAGCTTAACAGTTTTTCTCAATCACTCTGGCACATTTCACAAATCATCCTTCACGTCTAAGTTACTGATAGCAAAGGTCATGGTGCTCTAGGATTGGCCAGCCCAGTCACCAGACATGAACATTATTGAGCATTTCTGGGGTAAGATGGAGGAAGAGGCATTAAAGATGAATTCAACGGATCTTGATGAACTCTAGGAGTCCTGCAAGAACACTTTCTTTGCCTTTCCAGATGACTTTATTAATTATAAAAATGAGTGATTTTTATAAGTGATTTGAGTAATTGCAGAGATGTATGGATGCAGTCCTCCAAGCTCATGATGGAGTCAGACACAATATTCATTCTTGTTTCACTGCAGCATGACTTTATATTCTATACTGGACATTTTTTCTGTTGAGTGACAAGACTTTTGTCTAAGCAAAGTCAGACCTTACTGTCCTAATTAAATCATTTAAAATCAAGGCGTGATCATATTTTATTTTGGTAAAATAAGCGTAATCTAGAGGTGTTTGCCTTTCATATAAGCCACTTCTGATGCCAAATGATCAACTAGAAGTTTAGTTATTATTTGTTGTTCCTAAAACATGTATAGGTGACAAGACTTTTGTTAGGTAGTGTATTATTAGCCCTGATCCACAGCCTGGTCAGATCTCTACGCATCTGCAAATGTAGTTTGATTGTAATCCATTTGCTGATAACGCAATCACCTAATTCTATCAACAAGAATTAACAGAAAATGTTTATTTTTTGGGTGAACTATCCCTTTAAGGTCATAAATTGTAGTTAACTAAGATGTTGTGTTCGACAGGAATCGTTCTTGTGATGACTATTAAACCTGGGGTCTCTCAGAGTGCTGATAATATCGACCGAGAAGGAACTACTCCAAATGTGACCACCGTTGAGACCTTACTGGACCTTATTAGGTAAAAATTGCATCCCATTGTCCAATTGTATTATAGAAAGATCACATACAGTTTCCACTTTCCTCCCAATCACTAATGCGATTTCCACAAATGTTTGTAAAAGAATCATGCACTGTAAAAACTGCAGGGTTCCACACAATTCCTTCATGTTGAACCAACACAAATCAATTAAGTTAACTTAAGTGGACCAAAAAAAAACTCAAGAATTGTGTTGATTACGCTTATTTTAAATAAGTAGTTTAAACAAGAAAGTTTGAGTCGCTGTGAACTTGTATTGAACTTAGTCCTATCCTGAACGTTTAACCCAATAATCATCATCATCTCATGTGGATTAGCTAAAATAAAGCTTAACCAATCATTAGAGACTAAGCCACTTGACCAATCAGAGGAAAGTTGGGTTTCATTTCATGTGCGAAAACAATACCTGTTAACATTAGGATGTGAAAATAAGAAATACACACCCAAGCCCCTCCCCCACATCAACATGTTCTTTAATGTATAATTTAAACATTCAGATTAAAGAGCAGCACATAGATCTCTTAATTAGATTTTTCTTTTGATTTCATTTAATAATAGTGTCACTTTAAAAATGCAAAGATCCATAATGAGAGTATTTGACAAGATAAAATTTGTGTTTAGAAGAAAACCCATCAAGATCAACACGTTTAGATATTATTAATATTATTACCATTATATTATTATGTGTATATGTCTGTTCAAACATGCACCCAAAACCCAGAGTGTCCACTTTCGCTCCACTTTAAATCGTGTGTACAGAATCCGTTTGAGAAACAGCGTCTATTTATCACTATGGAGTGCGTCAGCTGACAGTCACGCACTGCTACATGAACCGACTGTTTTGAGGATTGCATAGGAGGGGCAATGGTGCATGTAATCGAAAGGAAGGGAATCGCACCATTTCATCATTATTTCAAAGTGTTTTCATGCCTAAATAAAACGAAAGCACAGAACAGATTCACATTTAAGAGCAAGGGGCGTCCCCTGATGGTTCAGCAGTATGGGTTGAATATTGGGAGGATCGGCTCTTTAGTGTTTATTGCCACCCTTGACAGAAAGATTAAAAATATGGGAGAAATACAGAAAAATACCTTGATGATAGCGGGATCTTCTTCTTCAGCCTTAATCCCGTATGGTTGCGGGGTCGGCTCTTTGGAACAAGTCCTCCATTTGGACTTGTCCATATGATAACGACTTTTTTTTTTTTTTTTTTTTTTGATGATGATAGCGGGATAGAGTTGTAAAATACGGGAAAATCCTGGGAAAGACGGGAGGGTTGACAGGTTTAGCAAAAACAGCTAATTCTGCAGTGCAATGAGTATCTTAATAAAGTTAAAGCGCTTTTTGAAGGTAAACCTATTGTAAGAGACTCCAAAATGAAATTAAAAACCCTTAAATAGTATAATAGGGGCACTTTAATAATAATAATAATAATAATAGGTGATGAAAAAATTTTCATTGCAATAAAAAGGTTGTGCATCGAAACAACCTACGTAGACAGCACATTTTTAGCTCTTAAGTGGCTATTTAAAATACTTTGAATGTTTAATATTTTGTTAAAGACATGCAGTGTCATCCTGCAACTGTTTTGCAGCATATAAAATGTCCCAAACCCTACTCTTAACTGTCCAAAATCCAAAATCGTGTTTTTACTCTTAGATAGTAAAGGAAGTTAAAAAAATTATATTAATGTTATATTAATAATATTAAAATAATATTATTAAAATAATATAAAATATGCATTGAAAAAAAATGGGAAAAAAGTGTTCAGTAAATTGAGACCACGAGTCCACATATATGGACATCATTTTTTTTCTATACGTACATCATATTAAAAGATGATACTTAGGTTTTTATTCTAATTAGGTTCCAATAAGCCCAAATAGCAAAGAGAAATAAAAAAATGCATGTAAAAAAACACCCCGGGCCTTAAGAGGTTATGTGTCCAAATGTTTTAATATACACTACTTTTTTAATATGACTTGCTTTTCTCATTTCTTCATAGGAATATGTTTCCTGAGAATCTTGTGCAAGCCTGTTTTCAGCAGGTAAACCTATGATATGTTTTAACAGAAATATTCCTTCATGCAAATGCAATATTTTGTTGAAACAAACCTCATCTGTGTTTTAGTATAAGACACAGCGCAGAGAGATCGAACCAACAAAACCCAGCATAAACACAACTAATGCAACTGCATTCCCACCGTTCACCACCATCATCTCAACAGTTGCACAGGTGAGAGAAGGACTGAAAAGATGAATGCTAAATATGTCAGACGAAATATTATTTTAAATGTTTTGAACATTTTTTTATGCCTCATTTATGCTTTAGAATTTGACCAAAGACTACAAGATTGTGGGCTCATATTCGGATGGCATTAATGTCCTGGGTCTCATCGTATTTTGTGTGACTTTCGGCCTGGTCATCGGCAAGATGGGAGAAAGGGGACGAATCCTGCTCGAGTTCTTCGATGCTCTGAACGAGGCCACAATGCGAATCGTTCAGATTATCATGTGGTCAGTTTTTACACATTACAGGCATTCATGTAACGGCAGAATTACTATTAGTATTCTTCATGACATCCACTTTCTTTGGAAATAGACACGTTTACATTTTTAGCTTGGCATAAATCATAGAACCGGATTAGACCAATGGCATCTCGCTCAAAAATGACCAAAGAATTTCGATAATTTATATATAAAAAAAAAGATCAACAGAAAATAAATGAATTAAATAATAGTTGCTATTTTCTAGATGATTATGCCTAGGAACAATACTGTCATTCTGGCATAATAATCAATTATCCACACCTTAGCAACCACATACAGTCCAGCCTGACATTATTCATACCCCTGGTGTGATGAATAATTTCGAGCTTGACTGTAGGTGATTGCCAAGTTACTTAAAACATGCAAGTAGTTACTAATTACAATTGTACTTAAATTACTTTTCTAATTACTTTGTCTGAAAAGTTACTCAATTGATAGTTTGATGTGACCGGTGCGGGGAATTGGCGGGCAAAAAAAATAATGGGCCGTAATGGCAGCTACATTGGAAGGTCCATAGAAATGCAGTACAAACTGGTATTTTCTCTCCGTTTCAAGCTACGAATATTTGATCATACATCAACAGAACAGAATCAAGATGATGATCACAAACTGTAAATTGTAGGCAATTGCAATCCATATTCTGCATCCGCAACCATTTTTTCAGCTCCAATTCTTACATCTAATGTTATCTTTTGGACATTCCTCAGCGGTTCAATCATAAGTGACAGCGTTATAGTGCGTAAGTGTCTGCTTTTATATTTGGTGTTGGTTTCTTTCACTAACATTAATATTTGCTGGTAGGAAAAATCTATTCGTTCACTTATGCTATTTATACTGTAGAAATTGAAATGCAAAGTCAATTGCACTTGATCTGCAAATTAGAAAAGAAACTATATATTTATATACACACACACATACGCACACACACACACTTGAAGTCAGAATTATTACCCTCCATGACTTTTTCTTTTTTTTATATTTCCCAAATGTTTAACAGAGCAAGGAATTGTTCACAGTCTGATAATACTATTTTTTAATAAATAATAAATCAAATAACCAAAACAAATAAATAATAAATATTAGTTATTCTGGAGAAAGTCTTATTTGTTTTATTTCGGCTTGAATAAAAGCAGTCTTCCAAACAGACCATGACCCTAAGCATACTGCCAAATTAGTTTAAATGTGCTTTAAGGACAACAGAGTGAATGTTTTAGAGTGGCCATCACAAAGCCCTGATCTCAATTCTATAGAAAATTTGTGGGCAGAGTTGAAAAAGCTTGTGCGAGCAAGACAGCCTACAAATCTGACTCAGTTACACCAATTCTGTCTGGAGGTATGGGTCAAAATTCTTGCAAACTATTGTGAGATGCTTGTAGAAGAATACCCAAAACATTTGACCAAAGTTATACAGTTTAAAATCAAAGCTAAATAAATACCAAGGAAATGCGTGTAAACTTATTTGGTCTAGAAATTAATAAAAATTCTCTCATTATTCTGGCATTTAGGTAATCCTAACAGACCTTAAATAGTAAACGTTTAGTATGATTTACCATCAGACATTTAAAAAAAATGGTTATGTTTTTTTTTTTAGAGTGTATGTAAACTTCTGGTTTCAACTTATATAATATATATATATACCCCTTATATTGACATGCACTAATTTCTCTGTTTTCTTAGGCATATGCAACTGTCTTGAGAAAGCATCTCCTTTATAATCAAATAAATAACAAACTGGTGAATTTGCATATTCAAGTAATTATAATAATGTAATCAATTGACCTATAAATTAAAAGTAATCTCAGCTGAAAAGTAACCTAACCACAGTAACTAGTACCTTTATTAATAATTACACCCAGTAAACCCCCACAATTTGTTTTCCACAGCGTGCAGGACTCACTGTAAACGTGAAAAGTATCTTGGGATTGCATTAATTAAGAAATGTAATAATCTTTCTTTAACAGTTACATGCCCATCGGCATCTTCTTCCTAATTGCTGCCAAGATCATCGAGGTGGACGACTGGGAAATCTTCAGGAAGCTGGGCCTGTACATGGTGACGGTGCTGAGCGGGTGAAGCAGCTTTTCTAATGTTCCCTTGTTGATTAGGAGAGCAGCGGATTTACTGCTGCTGCTGCTAGACTGGCCATTTACTGTTCCCATATCAGCTCTGTTCACGCACAGATAAGAGCCAAGGACATTTCAAACTGCAGATGCGCTAAAACATTTCATAAACTCTAAATGCCCACTAATTTGAGTGATATAGGCGAGCGGACATCAGTCAGAGGAGATTCTGTAGCTGCAGTTAAACAAATGCCATTTGCACTCGTGTGGAATCAACCGAAAGGATATGTGTGTGTGTTGAACAATGCTGAGTCAAACTGAAGAAATGGTAGCTGTTCAGACTAGAGTTCCTATAAATCCAAGGGACCTTGAAAAAACAGTGGGCGTGGCTTGATTTTTCTACTGTGAGCTGATTGGATGCAGTAAAGTCGGCATTTCATTAGGAAAGATCTGGAAAAGGGTTTGGGGAGAGTTATTACAACCTAACATTCACCACCTCCTCGCCATTTCTGTTAGTTGAGGGTTGGAGGGGGCGTGGTTAAGTATGTTAACCACACCCCGATACTTCAGACAGACCTAATCTGATAATTTAGCAAAACAAACAGGAAGTGCATTTTCAGATTTCAATTAAAGGTCACAAGGGCAAACTACTTTTTTTCTCTTAATTACATGCACAGATTAATTGTTCAGCACAAAACTAGCAATGTGAGCTAACAAAATTAATATGGTTAATATAATGTTATGTGTACTTTAAATTGAGAAGCATTTTCTAGACAAGTACAAAATAATACGCTTAAATTAGGTGAGTTTTTTCTTTTGACAAGTCAATTGATCTGCCAGTAGGGTACGTGAATTAAACTTATTTTAAACTGAAAATACATTTATTTAAGCATAAATTCATTTATTTATTATTTATTTAATACATTCATTTTCATTCATTTTCTTGTCGGCTTAGTCCCTCTATTAATCCAGGGTCGCCACAGCGGAATGAACCGCCAACTTATCCTGCAAGTTTCTACTCAGCGGATGCCCTTCCAGCCGCAACCCATCTCTGGGAAACATCCACACACACACTCATACACTATGGACAATTAAGCCTACCCAATTCACCTGTACCGAATGTGTTTAGACTGTGGGGGAAACCGGAGCACCCGGAGGAAACCCACGCGAACGGAGGGAGAACATGCAAACTCCACACAGAAACGCCAACTGAGCCGAGGTTCAACCCAGCGACCTTCTTGCGACAGCACTACCTACTGCGCCACTGCCTTGCCTTTTATTTAATACATTTACATAATTTTTTATGTATTAAGCACTAATACATTTATTTATTATTTATTTAATACATTTATATAATTATTTATTTATTTAGCAGTAACACATTTATTATTTATTTAAACATTTACATAATTGTTTATTTATTATTAAGCATTAATACATGTATTTATTATTTATTTAATACATGTATATAATTATTTTATTATTTAATACATTTATTATTTATTTATTCCATTTGTATGTTTATTTAATAAGCATTAATACACTTTATTTAATACATTTAAATAATTATTTATTAAGCATTAATACATTTATTTATTATTTAATACATTTATATAATTATTTATTAAGCATTAATACATTTATTTATTATTTAATACATTTATATAATTATTTATTAAGCAGTAACACATTTATTTATTATTTAATACATTTATATAATTATTTATTAAGCAGTAACACATTTATTTATTATTTATTTAATACATTTACATAATTATTTATTCAGTAACACATTTATTTATTTATTACATTTATATAATTGTTTATTTATTATTAAGCATTAATGCATTTATTATTTATTAAATACATTTATATAATTGTTTATTTATTAAACATTACATTTATTATTTAATATATTTACATAATTATTTATTTATTAAACATTTATACAATGATTAAGCAAAAAAATAAAAATCACTTAATTTTGCCTTATTATTTCAGAAAACATTGATTTTTGCTTGTCTATAAAATGCTTTTGATTTAAGAATTAAGATATTTGGACTAGAAACAAGACAAAACAGCATTTTTTGCAGTGTACACAATGGGTTGTGATATTATATTATACTATATTTTCCTTTCGCAGACTGGCCATTCATTCGATCATCTTCCTTCCGCTGATATACTTTGTGTTTGTGCGCAAGAATCCGTTCACCTTCACTCTGGGAATGGCGCAGGCTTTGGTGACTGCTCTCATGATTTCCTCAAGGTGAGTCAATAAATATTCTAGAGTCTGCTTTAGCGGCTACTCGTTCTGACTGTAAATCGAGGAAGGAAAAATCTATGCATAGTGCATTACAGACTTAAGGACCAAAGTTTCTTGATGAGTCAGCCTGAGTAAAGAAAAGCTGTTCTTAGAGATTTAACAAAGCGAGCGATTGGTTCATATTTTAAATTTCTGTCCAGAGAGGTCATGTTTTGATCTTTGATTGGTCTCATGCAGTCACGTGATGCGATTTCGCAGGTCAGAGTTCATCAAGCTTGAACTTTGCAACGCAGTGAACTGTGAAATTTGTCACATGAGCTTGCATTTCCGATCTTTTGGCACTTTTAAAGCCTATTTTCTTTAATAAGCACTCTTTTTAAAAGGCATCTTAAACCATACTTTTCACATGGAAGGTCAAGCTAGCATAAAGCAGTAAAAAGCAGTATAAAGCAGTAAAATAAACACAAGGGCTCTTAACAACCTTTAAACGTCAATGAACGGCTTATATCTAAATCTCCTACATATGAATGTCACATAAAAAATTATGCCATGATAAGACCGATGCTGATTCTACAAGTCCTAGAAATAAAATTCAAGCTTAAGGGAAACCTAATTGCGTGTGTCAGTTATGATCACTCTCTTAAAGGGACAGTTCACCCTAAATTAAAAATTATCATCATTTAGTCATCATTTAGCCTTCATTTGTTCCAAACCTGTATGAGTTTCTTTTTTTACTGAACACAAAAGAAGATATTTTGAAGAACGATGCATTTTGGGGTGAACTATCCCTTTTAATGCTATCACTAGGTTCCTGGAACCACTTAAGTGAGAGTAAACGTTGAGTATATTATTATTTTGGGGTGAACTATCCCTTTCAATGCTATCACTAGGTTCCTGAAACCACTTGAGTGAGAGTAAACGTTGAGTATATTATTATTTTGGGGTGAACTACCCCTTTAAATGCTATCACTAATCCTTTGAACCACTTGCGCTAGAGCAAACAAGTGAGTAAATGTTTATTTTGGGGTGAACTATCCCTTCAAATAGTTCTTGGAGCCACTTGAGGGAGAGGAAACTAAGTAAATGTTTATTTTGGGGTCGACTATCCCTTTAAATGCTATCAATAATTCTTGCAACCACTTGAGCAAGAGCAAACAGAGTAAATGTTTATTTAGGGGTGAACTATCCCTTTAAATGCTTTAAATAGTTCTAGCAACTACTTGAGCGAGTGTAAAAAGTAAGTAAAGTTTTATTTTGTGGTGAACTATCCCTTTAAATAGTGCTTGGAACTACTTGAGCGAGAGTAAACAGAGTAAATGTTTTAGGGTGAACTTTCCCTTTAAATGGTTTAAATAGTTCTTGGAACTACTCGAGCGAGAGTAAACAGTGAGTAAATGTTTATTTAGGGGTGAACTATCCCTTTAAATGCTTTAAATAGTTCTAGGAACTACTTGAGCGAGAGTAAACAGTGAGTAAATGTTTATTTAGGGGTGAACTATCCCTTTAAATAGTTCTAGGAACTACTTGAGCGAGAGTAAACAGTGAGTAAATGTTTATTTAGGGGTGAACTATCCCTTTGAATAGTTCTAGGAACTACTTTAGCGAGAGTAAACAGTGAGTAAATGTTTATTTGGGGTGAACTATCCCTTTGAATAGTTCTAGGAACTACTTTAGCGAGAGTAAACAGTGAGTAAATGTTTATTTAGGGGTGAACTATCCCTTTAAATAGTTCTAGGAACTACTTGAGCGAGAGTAAACAGTGAGTAAATGTTTATTTAGGGGTGAACTATCCCTTTGAATAGTTCTAGGAACTACTTTAGCGAGAGTAAACAGTGAGTAAATGTTTATTTAGGGGTGAACTATCCCTTTAAATAGTTCTAGGAACTACTTGAGCGAGAGTAAACAGTGAGTAAATGTTTATTTTAGGGGTGAACTATCCCTTTGAATAGTTCTAGGAACTACTTTAGCGAGAGTAAACAGTGAGTAAATGTTTATTTAGGGGTGAACTATCCCTTTGAATAGTTCTAGGAACTACTTGAGCGAGAGTAAACAGTGAGTAAATGTTTATTTTAGGGGTGAACTATCCCTTTGAATAGTTCTAGGAACTACTTTAGCGAGAGTAAACAGTGAGTAAATGTTTATTTAGGGGTGAACTATCCCTTTAAATAGTTCTAGGAACTACTTGAGCGAGAGTAAACAGTGAGTAAATGTTTATTTTAGGGGTGAACTATCCCTTTGAATAGTTCTAGGAACTACTTTAGCGAGAGTAAACAGTGAGTAAATGTTTATTTAGGGGTGAACTATCCCTTTGAATAGTTCTAGGAACTACTTGAGCGAGAGTAAACAGTGAGTAAATGTTTATTTTAGGGGTGAACTATCCCTTTGAATAGTTCTAGGAACTACTTTAGCGAGAGTAAACAGTGAGTAAATGTTTATTTTAGGGGTGAACTATCCCTTTGAATAGTTCTAGGAACTACTTTAGCGAGAGTAAACAGTGAGTAAATGTTTATTTTAGGGGTGAACTATCCCTTTGAATAGTTCTAGGAACTACTTTAGCGAGAGTAAACAGTGAGTAAATGTTTATTTTAGGGGTGAACTATCCCTTTTAATGCTATTAATAATTCTTTTGAAGCCTTTCTTTTAATGTTTCGTCTTTTGATCACTGTTTTTGAGCTGTTTATAGTAATCCTGCTCTGAAATCCTGTTCATCTAAAAAATGGAAAGGCAATCACACAAAAACTGAAAGAAAGCCACTGTAATATGCTTTTTACAGCTCGGCGACTCTGCCAGTCACGTTCCGGTGTGCAGAAGAAAACAACAGGATCGACAAGAGAATCACTCGTTTCGTCCTGCCAGTCGGTGCCACCATCAATATGGATGGAACTGCACTGTATGAAGCGGTGGCCTCTATATTCATCGCTCAGTTGAACAACTACGACCTGAACGCCGGCCAGATTGTTACCATTAGGTGAATGGGATGGAGGCCAGTTGCTGTGATGTAATGCACTTAAGTAGCTTTATGTGTGAGTAATACTTTTTGATATGTCGGTTGTGTAGCATTACAGCTACGGTGGCCAGCATTGGCGCAGCAGGAGTTCCTAATGCTGGAATGGTTACCATGGTGATAGTTCTTACAGCAGTGGGTCTTCCTGCTGATGATGTCACCCTTATCATCGCTGTCGATTGGCTGCTGTGAGTATGATTTTATGGCTTTAAGTCTGCATGAACCGGAAGCTGTGACTGTTTTTTTCTTTTTTCGTATTGTGAGGCAGTTCCTAGAGAAACAAATATTAAATGAGAAAACAGTGGGTGTGGCTTTTTTTTCTACTGAAAGCTGATTGGATGTAAAGATGGGAAAAGGGTTTGGGAAGAGTTATTACAGCTTAATGCCTAGTTCACACTAAAGGATTTTAAGCCTGATTTGAGCCCGATTTGGAAGCTAACGAGCTCGCCGACAGATCGGGCTGTGATCGGGAAGAAATCTGCGGGTGCTCGGCGCTCGCCGCTCTTTATGTGTGAACTACTAACAAGGCTCGCTGACGCGTCGCCGACACCTCGCAGACGGAAATCCAACATTCAGCATGCTAAATATTCCAGAGCAGTCGACCGACTCAACCCCACGTGCGGTCAGATGTAGTGACGAGCTGCAGCCAATGAGAGCATATCAGCACGAGCTGAATGCCTGTGTGTTCAGGAGCTCAGCAGAAACATCTGTGATTCAGATCTGTGGTCAGAATGGGCATCGGTGCACTCGCTTCATTCTGTGTTAGCACAGACATGAGAGTAGGCTATATTAACAGTGGAACTAGAATTCTGTAACTATTAGAATTACCATACTGCTCATTCTGACTGTTCTCATATAAAACGCCATATTGTCACAACATATTTACATTCAAAGCTATTATTGAGATATTAAAATTAAGCTTTGAATGTCTGGCATCATACTTAATGACACATTACCCTAAAAATATAATCTTTTTTGGTAATACAGCCTATAAATATGTAGTTAAGATACTAAAACACTTAAAGGTCTTGGCTTTCATTTTCACTTTCAAACAGGAGCTATTTAACAGCACAGAATATGCAGTTTTGAAAGATATCTGAAGTAAATTGATGTTTTTGCCATCAGAAAGTTTTGTTTATGTTAGCAGGAAGTTGCCAGGCAAGAAAATGCACACATATTTAAAGTCACAGCGAAAAGTATCAGACATGCATGCAGTCATTTTGACCAATATGGTAATTTAAGGCAGAAATGCTCAGTTCTTTACTGTTTTGTAATAAAAAAATAATGTCAGAAAGAAATACACTGATAGTTAGAAAACGGCAGGGTGTTATAAATATGTTAGTTTTATTTCAAAGAGTTATAAAATTACAAAAATTAAAAACTCTCTGTGTATCTATCCACTCAAACCTTGCAGATGAGTGATTAATGCGCTGATAAATCAGCTGATTTGACGATGTTTTTAAATGCTTTCTCCAAAGCTTGAAACGCTGTCAGTGATGTCATCAGCACACAAGCAGCCAATAGTCTTCAGCTTTTTCTGACGACTCCTCCCTCAAATTTTCATTGGCTGTGGTTTGGTAGCTTGAATGAGCTGATGGGGAATGAGATGTTGTCAGATCATGTAGTGTGTGACCCCCCTCTTGTGGATCGTTCACGGAGTGTTGCGTAGTGTGAACACCACAGAGATTAAAAGACAAAGTCAAGTCATGTAGTGTGAACAGCACAGCGATCTGCTGATGTTTAAAATCCTGTAGTGTGAACTAGGCTTAACAGACACCTCCTCCTCCTCACCGTATCTGTTTGATGCCAAAACAGTCCGTATGTTGATGTACTTCAAGTTCCAACTGAAATGGAATATTGAATAGGGGGGCGGAGCTTTCTTTGCGCACATTCCTTTGTAGCCAACAAATGGTAAGAGGAAGCAAATTGGCAGACTTTGATTGAAGATTACCAAAACAAAACAATTCAGTGGATTAACTTGCATGGATTGTTAGCTTAAAAAATAGCAATGTGTGCTCGCAAAATGAACATCGTAAATTTTGATTTCACACAGACTTTAAAAGTTCAATTAGAAACTCCAATCGCCTACTTCCACTGGCGGCCAAATGCATGTTATTTGATTCACACTGGTTTCCTTGATAAAGTTAGTGAAAAAAGCCTCAGAACAGTGAGCATTTTGACTACTGCAGAAAAGATGACTAAGATCTGTGGCCGACAAATGTTTATGATTCCTACATAATTTGTTTATAATGCTATTTTACTGTATTTTGAAGCATAAATGTGACTGTCATGGTCACATGACTTTAATGTCACTAAAACAAAAAAATGGTTAACTTTTTCTAGTTTTTGACATTTTAGTTTAGTTAATAAACCAAAAGCTGATGGTAGCTTCCATGATTAAAAAAAAAAAAAACTAAATTTATAAACATTATTTATCCTTATTGGTGTTTATAAAGTCACTTTTTGTTGATAATGTTAATAATAATAATAATATGATTCTGATTACGCAACTGGTTGCTGCTTGTAGCATTTGATAATTTGTATTCAGCTTTATGCAGCATTTTCTATTCTGTTTAAAACATAGTTGGAACAATAATACATGAAATGTTATAAAATGTGGTAAAATAAATGTGACGGATGTGCAAATAACTGAAATGTAATGGGGTTAAAAGTGAGACATTTCACTGCTGAAATGAATACTTCAGACTGTGTTTGGAATGCAGCATAAACACCCTTAAAAAATAAAAATAAATAAGTGTATGGTTAACTATTTTGGTACCACTAATAGTGGAAACAGAAATAAGTGCTTACCATAAGAGTACCTCACAGTGCAAACGAGCCATAAAAAAAAAAGCAATTGATACATAAAAATGATTACATACAGCCTGCTAAAAAACCTTTAGCGCCCCACATTGAAATCTAATATATAGTAATATATGAAAATTCCATATATGGCAAACAAGTTAATAATTGAATTTCACATATATGAAATATGCAACTTTAATTCTGAAATAAATATGCACTTGCATCTGTTGTCTATACATCCATTAGCATTAGTACCTATACATATTAGTATCTATACATATATCCATATATATATATATATATATATAGAATTAATTAATATTATATAATCGAATTAAGGTGATCGGAATCTAGATCTATTTATACATCTATATATCTACATCTACTTTATTTATATCTATATCTACCTATATATAGCCATCTGTTTATCTGTATATCTACAGTATACATCTATCCATCTATATATATATATATATTTCTACTTCCAATTCCGCTGCATAAAACATAAGCTAGAGTAGTAGGTGGTTCATTCCGCTGTGGCAACCCCTGATAAAAGTACTAAGCAAAAGCAAAAATTCATGAATGAGTATAATATAGATAAAATGTCACGTTTGCAATATTTCTAAATACATGTTGCATATGTCATTTATCTAATTTGCATATGTTAACATGTATGAAATTTGTACATGGGGCTGTAGTGTGAAAAAAAAACCTATTAACTGATTTTTCCAATCAAATCAGTGACCGCTTCCGCACTATGATCAACGTTTTGGGAGACGCCTACGGTGCTGGAATCGTCCAGAAGCTGTCGAAACGAGAACTTGAGAGGATGGACCTGACGTCAGACGTGGACGCCGCCAATCCCTTCGCCCTCGAGACTACGCTGGACGACGACGAGTGCGAGGACAAAAAATCCTACGTCAACGGCGGGTTCACCATTGACAAAAGCGACGCCATTTCCTTCACCGAGACCTCGCAGTTCTAGAGGTAAGAGTTGAAGTCAGTGGCTGCTAAAAATGTGCCATGGGAGGGTTCAGAGAGGTGGGAGCCATTCATAAAAACCAGTGCCATGACCAGGACGGCAAGTCATTACAGAGGACATGATTGAGCGCAGACATTAGCAATACCTGCCCTTGCGGTTCTCCTTCCTTCATTTCCCCAACTGCGCTCTTGAACTTGAACGTGTGCGCTAGACGGAGAGAGAAGAAAAAATAAATGGACGTAAGAAAACTGTGCTTCCATAGCTCATCATAACATGTTGTTCTGAATTATGCAAAGCTGTTTCTGTTTCATTAACTGCAGTTTGCTTTGTTTTTCTACTAACTAAAAGCTGGAGTTTGTGTGTATGAGGTTTGTGCAATATTGCGCAAAAGGAACCTGGCAGATTATTGTACAGTACGCATTTCAAAGAGCATGTTGCTAACTTGCTAATGTTATTATACACATGCAAAAGATGAATAATGCCGAATTAAGGTGATCGGAATCTGCTTTGAATTTCTTTTCTAAGCAAATTATGTTTCAGACTCAGTAAATGTTGCCAGTTCTGTATTTGCACTTGCTATCGAAAGCCAAATGTTTGAGCTTTGCGCGTTTATCGTTTGAAAATTGTGCCAAATTGAATATGTTGACATGACTGGGAACATTTTTATACAAGCTTTTGCAATATTGCATGATGAGGATTTGATATGGAGTACGTTTAATGGCCTTCAGAATGAAAACCTGATCATTTTTTGTCATGACACTGAAGGTGGCAAGCCTTAAGTTTGTTCAGCAAGCCACTGGTTTTTATTATTTTTCCTCTCTCGTGTTGTCGACTCTGAAAGACTATACGGGTGATGTTGTCAGTGCCCGATTTCAGCCATTAAGTCAGTTTTACAGGATTTAATTTGTTTATTCTTTGAGTTACATCATAAATGAGAGAACGCAATCAATGTGAAGCATTAATGGTTTGTGTTTGAGGTTCGGGAATAGATTTAACACCGTAAAGCACACCATTGTACAACTGTATTTACACAGTACAGTAGTCAGATTAGTTATACTGTATGATTCAACAAGTACTGTATGTGTATTCACAAATTAATAAAGACAAACATGTCAACACATGAAATGGTTTCTAAAATGATTTTGTCTTCATATGTTTGACAAAAGGAGATTGAGTTTCATCTGCTATTGTGTACCGTCTTTGAGTTATCTGTCATATAGACAGGCAGACCAGAAGATGATAGACAGATCGATATATAGACAGACAGACAGATAGACAGACAAACAGAATGATAATATGTATGGCTAGGTAGAGATAATACAGTCAGAATGATAAAACGATACACAAATGATAAATTAACAGACAGACATGTATTTAAATGACACGACCTAATATAGGCAGGCAAGCAGACAGACAGATAGATAGAATGAAAGAAGGACAAACAGATGGCTGGATAGAATGATAGAACTGTAGACAGACAGAAAGAGAACAGTAGATAGATGGATGGATAGATAAAATGATAGAACAGCAGACAGACGGATAGAGAGTTAGACTGGCAGAATAATAGAACAGTAAAGAGATGGATGGATGGAATGATAGAACAGTAGACAGACAGAATGATAGACAGACAGAATAATAGAACAGTAAAGAGATGGATGGATGGAATGATAGAACAGTAGACAGACAGACGGATAGAGAGTTAGACTGGCAGAATAATAGAACAGTAAAGAGATGGATGGATGGAATGATAGAACAGTAGACAGAATGAATGATAGACAGACAGAATAATAGAACAGTAAAGAGATGGATGGATGGAATGATAGAACAGTAGACAGACGGAATGATAGACAGACAGAATAATAGAACAGTAAAGAGATGGATGGATGGAATAATAGAACAGTAGACAGACGAAATGATAGACAGACAGAATAATAGAACAGTAAAGAGATGGATGGATGGAATGATAGAACAGTAGACAGAATGAATGATAGACAGACAGAATAATAGAACAGTAAAGAGATGGATGGATGGAATGATAGAACAGTAGACAGAATGATAGATGGATGGATATGGACCGGCAGAAAGATAGAACTAGTTAGACAAAATAAGTGAATGACAGGCAGACAGAATGACAGAACGATAGACAAATTGAACGATAGAACAATGGACAGAGAGACAGAATGAATGATAACCAGACAATGATAGAACGATAGACAGAAAGAATGGATGGACGGACAGATGACTGAACTCGACAAACAGAATGATGATAAATAGGCAGAATGATAGAAACGAAGACGGATTTGATAGATGGACAGAACAGTAAACAGAAAGAATGAATGATAGAAACAGAGAGAATAGTACAGTAGACTGCAACAATGATAGATGGATAGACAGAATGAATGATAAACAGACAGAATGATAACGGTAGAGAGATAAAATGATAGACGGACAGACAGACAGGATGAATGATAGAGAATGATTTAATGGTAGACAGAAAGACAGAAAGGTTAGATAGATAGAATGATAGACGGACAAACCGACAGATGGATAGGTGAACAGGCAGAATGATGGAACTAGTCAGAATGATGGTACAGTAGACAGATACAGCGATAGATAGATAAACTGAACGATAGAAGGGCAGAAAGACAAACAGAAAAGTAAACAGAATGATAGAACGAAAGAGGCAGACCCATAGACAGACAGACAGAAAGGAACACACACACACAGACAGATATATATATATAAACAGACCGATCAAACAGAGTCTCTCTGATAAAAACATTCAGCCTTTAACTTGACAATCAACCGAACAGGTGTTTCATTTTAAATGCTAATGAGTGAGAGCCAGCATTTGCATGAAGATACAAAAATAAGAAGTGGTGTGATCAAAGCACTGCTGAATGGACACTTTTGAAGGTGGTTCCTCCTTTTGTTTCTGTATTTTATTCATGGATTTTTGCCTTAATTATACAGGAATGACATGATGCAGATCAGACTCGCACCTCCAGCACCACTGCTGCACCCCAGTTACAAAAGAGAGACAAATTTGTGGTTTGTGATGGTTATATTGAGCAAACATAGCATTTTAGAAGTCTGTTTATGCATGCACACACACACACACTTCAAGACTCTACTAACAGTTAAAGAGCTGAAACAGGTATTAATACACTACTTGTCAAAGCTTCAATCTAAACACTCATAACTGAATGGAAAATGATGCAAAGCCACAGGAAATCACGTTGTCCTCCTTTTCATCTGTAAATAAAGAGAAACACTCGTGTTTTTAAATGCTCACAATGCTTAGTTGTATTAAATGTGCATTTGGAACAGTAAATCTGTAAAAAAAAAATAAGTCTATTAAAAAAAACTACTTGGAATGTCAATCAGGTGTACCTGAATACTTTCATGACCAAACAACATTAAACTATTTGCTTTTATAATCACATCAACACTTACTTTGATGTGTTGACTAACATGCTAAAACATGTGTAAAGTAGAATATAACTTTATTTATTTAGAGTTACTCAGAATTACATTCAGTAAAATGAATACATGTGAATAAATATAGGAAAATAAATATGTGACTCTGGACCATAAGTGTCTTTTTTTATTATTCAGATTTATACATCACATGCATTATTAGGATATGCTTATATTCGGCCAATGTATAACTATTAGAAATCTGAGAGCTTAAAGAAATAGATTTTTTAAAAGAAGAAGAAAGAAAGAAAGAAAATGGGGGAAAAAATGAAGAAAGCGTTCTTGCAGGACTCCCAGAGTTCATCAAGATTCCTTGGACTCATCTTCAATGCCTCCTCTATCTTACCCCAGACATGCTCAATAATCTTCATATCTGGTGACTGGGCTGGTCAATCTTGGAGCACCTTGATCTTCTTTGCTTTCAAGAACTCTGATGTGGAGGCTGAAGGATGAGAAGGAGCGCTATCCTGCTGGAGAATGTGCCCTCTCTTGTGGTTTGTAATGTAATGGGCAGCACAAATGTCTTAATACCTCAGGCTGCTGATGTTGCCATCCACTCTGCAGATCTCTCGCACGCCTCCATACCGAATGTAACACCAAAATATTGAGAATCACTTTTTAAAGGGGCTTAACAATGCATATTACTAATTTAACATTGCAATTTGATACATTTACAGTAGGAAATTTGCTAAATGTTTTCATGGAACAATCTTTACGTAATATTCAAGTTGTATCGGTCAATTTTATTTTTTTTAACATATATAATTTTTATTTTTATTGATGTATTTTTGGCCAAAATATACCCATGCAACAAGACTGGATTTCTGGTCCAGGGTCACATTTTAAAATGTACAGAATTCCAACTTCCTCATTCCAGTTATTAAAATTATTATTTACATGTCACACAGTTTTCAAAATAAATTACATCAAAATAGTCAAATAAATCCACGTTAACCATATTCCAAAAATAACAGAATTTGTTATCACTTATAAAGACGCACTTGAATAGATTTTCTGCCATCATTGACTCATCCTCCACTTGTTCCAAACCACTTTGAGAATTTTGTCTTCATAAAGACAGAAGATATTTTGAAGAATGTTGAAAATTGGCAACTGGCATTTGTTTTTCCTACCATATATGTCAATGGTTACCAGTTTCCAACATTCTTCAAAATATCTTCTTTTGTGTTTATCAGAACAAAACAAAAGAAATAAATCTCAAACTGGATTGGAATATGCCAAGGGTGAGTAAATGATTGAAAAAAAAGTTCATTTTTGGGTGTACTATCACTTTAAATGTGTCAAAATGACTCTAAAAAAACACCCAGCTAATTGCACTTAATTTAAAACTTAAACTACAATTTATTTTATTTTATTGTAGTACCGTAAAACATTCGGTATGCATTTTAGCATATTAGTTCTGAATAAATTTTCTCCATTATAAATGGACCTCGTATAAATATACAAAAATATTTTTCTTCACAAGTGAACACTTGAATGAGAGCAGTCAAACCATGATCCACATGTAATATTGGCCATATGCAAGCACACACACGTACCGTTTGTTTTTAGCACACATGGTTGATTAGAGTGGGCATGAATTGTCCAGAACAGATCGTCGTATCAGTACCTCGTCAATCTCAGAGTCAGTGGCACCCTGACACACGCACAAAAAAATAAAATAAAGAGCGTCACATTCAGATAATGCAGCTGATGAAACGTGAATGTGTGTGAGAATATATGTGTGTGTGTATGTCTTACTTACACAGGCTAGCCTGTGAACTGCTTTGGGAGATGTTAAAAGACTCTGAACCCGTTTCTGAACCTCCTCCCACAGATCAGGAGAACTGCAGAAAACACAATTAGCTCAAACCCACCACAAAGCAATTCATTGCTATACCTATTGCTGACACAGAAGAGGCCGGTTGTACAAAACGAGATGAACAAACTCAGAGTTGCAGAGACATTTCGGTTTGACAAAACCAAACCAATCCAACCTGGTTAAGGTCAGGTTAAAAAAAACTTGAATGGTTATAAAAATCCTTATTATCATTAAAAAAAAATGTAGTTAGTTTAAAAATCTTGTACAACATTAATGATATTGTAGTTCTGGAAACATCCTACTTTTGTTTTTCCGTCTGATTTTATGGTGGGTTTCTTTTGATCACCCCCTGACACTTTAAAGAATATCTCAACGGCTAACACAAGTATAAAAGCCTCATCTGTTTTATGAGGTCCATGCGCAGACAGCAGAGGTCTGCAACGCAAAGTATAAATCAGCTTTAACCAAAAATAAAACCTGCTTCGAAGTTAGTGGTGTAGTCCAAGTTGATGACAGAACCTTATTAAAGCCAATCCACCTTCTTAAACCCAAAATCTTTTTGAGTTTCCTCAAACTAAACACAAACTGGCCTCTGATCAGTTATTTGAAGAAACTCTGGCTATTGCAGTAGCTTAAACTAATACAGATTGTGTGGAATGGATTTGATGAGGAAAATATGAGTTGGTTCTTCAAAAATAACATCCGTTAAATCCATTCATGTGTATCTACCTGGGGAAACGCTTGTAAACATACCCGTTTTGCCTGTGGAGCAACGCTTGTAAACATACCCGTTTTGCCTCTGGTGCTCCACACTGGAGGGACTCGGGATGGAAGATCCTTCATGTCCCATGAGGGAATGATAACGGTTCACTTCATCAGCGATGTCAAGGAGATCGTCTGTGTCTGAAGAGTCCTCGTCAGCCATCTGAAATAAGCACAGTCTGTTTCTGACAACTACACTCAGTCAAAGACAAAATGATTATCCCTCTAGTGAAATTATTTCTCAAATATTTCTTAAGTGATGTTTAAGAGATCTAACTTTTTTCCCTATTATATTAGTCTTCTTAAGCCTTTAAATTGCACTTTACGCTGAATGCTGGTATCTTGCAAAACAACTAGCATAATTTCAGAATCGATATCACTACAATTCACCAAAATTGCACAATAGAAGTTTGGAAAAATGTTGCCTGGTCTGATGAGTCTTGATTTCTGCTGCGACATTTGGATGGTAAGGTCAAAATTTCTCAGACTGTTTATTTTTTAACATGACAATTTCAACGACGAGTTCACTGTACTCAAATGGCCTCCACAGTCACCAGATCTCAATCCAATAGAGCACCTTTGGGATGTGGAGGAACGGGAGATTGGCATCATGGATGTGCAACCAAAAAATCTACAGCAACTGCGTCATGCCATCATGTCAATATAGAGCAAAATCTCTGAGGAATATTTCCAGTACCTTGATGAATCTACGACATGGAAGGATTTAGGCATTTCTGGAAGGTCCACACCGGAACTAGTAAAGTGTACCTAATAAAGTGGCCGGTGAATTTACAGACGCAAGCATGTTCATCTATCAAAACCGCCAACAGCACAGTATATAACAACCGCACGCAAAGTGAAAACATTGCAATGCAAATCCATATAACCTTGAAATCAGCACACAACAGATCTAACATTAACCTTGTATAGGGGGTGCACCGTTCCCGGATGTACTGCAATACCGGGTCGATACGTGGAGTGGACGGAGCAAGCCCCTATTCCATCTCCCTGTTCCAAAAATCAATTTAATATATGGTGCCCGGGTAGGGCACGTATCAGATATTAAACTGATAAGAACAGATACTACACTTGATCTTAGCCAAAAGGCCGAGAAGCGATACCCACAAACTGTCAGCAGGAGGGACCGCCTTCCGGGAAACAGTAAAGACATTGTCGGCGAGCCTTTTTACACCTTTTAAAAACCACACAATCATCTATATATGCACTTATAAACACCAAACTCTCTTATGAGAAGTTGTTTATGTAGCTCGTTTTAAAATGAAAGCGGTTTTAAAAGCAAAAACTGACTGGAGGAGGGACTATTATAATGAGCACTACTACCCCTCCAATCCAAAGCATGGATTCTACTTTAGGAGTATTTGAAGATAAAGCGGTTATAAAAATCACAAAATGTTTCAAACAGTGATGAAATGAAAGCGCTTACAACACGAGCGCTGAGGTAAAACGCATGGAACCAACACAAGGCAATGTAAAACACGCTTTTATACACGGTAAGGGTTCGCCCCCAAGTGGACACAAGAGGAATTGCATAAACACTTTCTCTTCTTACCAGCACAACACTGCCGCATGTAACAACCACGCACCTGGAGCACACCTCCCCCTCCCTAATGTCCGACGCGACATCTACTTCAGGTCATGGAGTCTTTACTAATGAGGTGAACCGTCGGACATCATGCAAAGACAGTGCTAAAGTGCTTCAAAAACATGAGTAACCACATATAATGCATACGTATAGTGATTAAAAGCTAAATAACGCTGTATAAAACAGCAGAACTAAATTATACTACATTCACCTACATTTGTAGGCGCCTCCCTGTCCTGTTACAACTAACAAACAACGCCTAAAACTAACGTTAACTTACAAACAAGGCAACATACAGGTTCAGTAAAATGCAAACAGTAAATATGGCTGCCTATAACGTTAAAGATGCATCTTGAGGCGGATATAATAAGGACACTTTCACTAGTGAGAGCTAGTAAATAATCATGAATGTTTTCTGATAATAAAAACACCTGTAACATTAGGCACATGCAGCATTTCTCATCTGTTTGGACGTTACAGCACATAAATAAACATTACAGACATCTCTTTTAATCCACTACATAGACAACACTGGCACGCTCGAGTGTAGTGGATTCTCCATTAGATGCGCACGTTTGTCTCGCTCGCCTTGCACAAACTTTACGAGCCTAAACATATTTATCTTCGTGGCACAAATAAAGTAATAAAATATTAATCTCAGTGACACAAATAAAGTAATTAACGCGCAAACTAAAGTCCACCGACGCATCCAAAACGTAACGACGCTAAAATACCAAAACGTTACCTGTGTTACGCCGGAGTAACAACGGAGTAACAGCAAAACTGTCGACAAGTTCGACGAAATATGACAATAAAAACATTTGATTCTCGACTAGTGTTATATAAAACGTTTTAAAACACTCACCTGAGAGCACGAGTTGTAGTTTTTCACCGAACATCGCAAAACTCACCGCGAACTCGAGTCCCACACAGCATGACGTTGCACTTGCAAACTTGCGCGCGTTCACGAGACAAGGTGAAAAATCTTCCCTGAGGTGTTATTTAAAGGTGTAAATGTAGGACTGACACCTAGTGGTTGAACTAGATATTGCAGTCCAAATTCAAAACAATGGAGAGCTTTTTTTTCTCTTGTCGACAACACGCAGGTTGCCAGATTGACGATACAAACCCTCTTTGTATCTTATCTTTATATTATGCTTTATTTAATGTATATTTCTTGTTTGTCTATTATTATTTTTTAATACCTGTGTTACGCCTATGTCCAATGTTAGACTAGCAAGGCCACAAAACAACGGAGTAACAGCAAAACTGTCGACAAGTTCGACGAAATATGACAATAAAAACATTTGATTCTCGACTAGTGTTATATAAAACGTTTTAAAACACTCACCTGAGAGCACGAGTTGTAGTTTTTCACCGAACATCGCAAAACTCACCGCGAACTCGAGTCCAACACAGCATGACGTTGCACTTGCAAACTTGCGCGCGTTCACGAGACAAGGTGAAAAATCTTCCCTAAGGTGTTATTTAAAGGTGTAAATGTAGGACTGACACCTAGTGGTTGAACTAGATATTGCAGTCCAAATTCAAAACAATAGAGAGCTTTTTTTTCTCTTGTCGACAAAACGCAGGTGGCCAGACTGGTAGCACCAACATTAGCGAGCTTATTTTGAATTACTTACACTCTTTGTATCTTATGTGTATATTATGCTTTATTGTATGAATATTTCTTGTTTGTTTAATTTTATATTTTATTATTTTTTGATACCTGTGTTATGCGTAGGTCTAATGTTAGACTACTAGCATCACAACAAAACAACGGAATACCTGCAAAACTGTTGACAAGTTTGACAAAATATGACTATAAAAACATTTGACTCTCGACTAGTGTTACAAAAAACATTTTAAAACACTCAAATGAGTGCACGAGTTGTAGTTTTTTACCAAACATCGCAAAACTTGCCGCAAACTCGAGTCCTACACAGGATGGCGTTGCACTTGCAAACTTGTGCACGTTCACGAGACATATCTTTCCTGAGGTGTTTAAAGCTATAATGCGTAGGAATGACACCTAGTGGTTGAACTAGGCATTGCAGTCCAAATTCAAAACAATGGAGAGCTTTTTTTTCTTTTTAGTCGACAACACACAGGTTGCCAGATTGAAAACACCAACATTAGCGAGCTTATTTTGAATTACTTACACTCTTTGTATCTTATTTGTATATTATGCTCTTTTGTATGAATATTTCTTGTTTGTCTATTATTATATTTTGCTATTTTTTGATACCGGCGTTACGCGTAGGTCCAATGTTAGACTACAAGCATCGCAACAAAACAACGGAATAACAGCAAAACTGTCAACAAGTTAGACAAAACATGACTGTAAAAACATTTGATTCTCGACTAGTGTCACATAAAATGTTTTAAACCACTCACCTGGGCGCCCGAGTTGTAGTTTTTCACCGAACATCGCAAAACTCACCGCAAACTCAAGGACGAGAACAACACGGGATGACGTTGCTCTAGCAAACTTGCGTGCGTTTTTTTTTTTTTTCACCCGGTCTCTCCTCTACCGTCGACATCACGCAGGTTGCCAGATTGACTACATCAACATTAGCAAGCTTAATTTGAATTACTTACACTCTTCGTATCTTTTTGTATATTATCATTACTTTTATATAACTGTATAGGGCCCAAAGGTGATCCTTGTGGAACCCCACAGTTACTGATTGTGTACACTGATTGATGATTACCAGGGCAAACACATTGTTTCCTATTTGCTAAATATGAAGTCATCCATTTAATAGAAATCCACATATACATAAAGCACTGTCTATTTCATTCATATCTTTGTTCTATTGTGTTCATTTATGCTTGTATTTTTGAGTATAGATGTAACCTCGCTGGTCCTACACCAGCCAAACCGATCCGACCAGGTATCGAACCGGCGACCTTCCGCATGAGGGTCAGTTGCTCTACCAAGGAGGCTAAAGACCACAGCCTCTAACATTTGTCACAAGAGCACCTTTAGAGGTCACAGGAGTGAGGTTTACCTGCACAGCACTTACTAGCTGGCCCCCGTTATATAGTGAATGACACATGATATAAACAACTAACCCAAGATCTGGAATAGCTTCTTCTCAGGTCTCCTGAAGAAAAAACATGCGGTGCATATTATAAGTATGGTTTAAAAATTAACATATTGGTTAAACAAAGCATGTCAAATTTCACCAAGCTAAAAAAAAACAGCATGAACAAATATGGCAAATACATGTATTGCAGCGTTCATACCTGCATCTATCAATGGTTTTGATCGATGTGGTGACAGACTTCTAAATCTGGGCTTTCTGGCAGAGACGGGTGAATAACCAGAAGATCTCTGATCCTACAGCGCACAAAATAAAACATACAGAGATTTAGAAACAAGAAACTAAGGCCTAATATTCATATGTGCATATTTGGCGACAACTATGTGCACATGGCAGGATATAAGCATGCAATACTGTATTGTCCCAAGTTAATATGGTAAAACTTACATCTTACATTTAATTCACACTTATTTATAAAAGCACTTCTTACGCCCACAAAAGTGTTGAACATTTCATTGGTGCACCGATTAGTGTGTGTTTGAGTGTTATGTCAAATGTTTACACTTATTTAAAAGCACCACTATTAAATTGACATTCATCAGAGTATTGAAGAAGCTTATTTTAATATACTAATGCTAAAAATATGCAAATTTTACAACTGCCCTAGAGATAAACAGATGAGTTTTACCATTTCTGAAGCCGATATCCGGGTCTGGTAAGAGCACTTTTAGCTTAGCTTTGCATAAATCATTGAATCGAATTACAACATTAGCATCTTGCTAAAAAAAAATGACCATTGTTTAGATAATTTTCTATTGTATTTAAAGCTTGAGTCTACTGTAGTTAAATCAACATAGTAAGTTGATTGTGAAAAGTTGCTATTTTCTAGGCTGATATGTCTAGGAACTACACTCTCATTGGAGCTTAATAATCAAGCAACTTGGTGCTGTAACATGGTGGTGACAGGAGCAATGATATTATGCAGCACCAGAAAATAGTCCCTAGCTAGGTAACTTCCAGTGTAATATCATTGCGCCAGCTGAAGCCATGGTACAGCAGCAAAGTTCCTTGATTATTATGACAGAATTAGAGGAAATGCATTATTTATATTTATTATATATCTAATTATTTATTCATATTTATTAATGTATATTTATTTATTTACCTATAATTAATTATTTATATTTATTATTTATTTAATATTTTATTATATTAAAAAGAAAAAATATCAAGAATCGTAGTTAGCTGTTAAGCAAGATGCTAATGGTCTAATCCAATTCAATGATCTATGCTAAGCTAAAGTGCTCCGGGCTGACCTAGAAATTGTCTGAATGGACAAAAACATGTTAAAACTCAACTCTTTAACTAGGGGAGTTGTAAAATTAGCATGTTTTCAAAAAATGGGTAGTGTTCGTTTAATGTGATGTAAATAAAGCTCTTTACATACATTCTTACAATTCTGAGTTATAAGTGAGACTCAACCATTTAGTCTTGCTCACTTAAACACTAGCACCAAATACAGAAAATACGTCATGCAAGTAGACATGTGGTCAAGTGCAAGAGCTTGTGTGCCCTCTGCTGGTCATCACCAATTTATCAAAAACCAAACAAACAACCAACATCTTATCTCATCCACCATTCCCACAACATATCTTTTTTCCTAGACTATTGTATTTTTAATTATTTATCAAGGTGTGGAACACATTTATTGAAGATATTTATTCAGAGACATGCATACTCCCACAGTCCAAAAACATGCGCTATAGGTGAATTGAATAAACTAAATTGGACATTCACACACTACTACACTTCACTTTGGACTGTGGGGGAAACCGGAGCACCCGGAGGACACCAATACGAGGAGAACATGCAAACTCCACACAGAAATGCCAATTGGTCTAGCTGGGACTCGAACCAGCGACCTTCTTGCTGTGAGGCAACACTGCTAACCACTGAGCCACCGTGCCACCCCCTGATTATTTTCTGATACCTGGTCTGTGTTGTGGTTTCTTCTTTGACTGCATGGAGCAGAGGAGAGATGTCTAAGGGATGAGCTGCTGCTCTGTTTTCGGGACTTTCTAGAGGTTTTCCTCCTCATTCTCCTCTACAGATAAAAAAACAATGTTTTCAACAAAATAAAGCAGTAAAGCTGATCATTTCGAAATCTATGTTTGTTTTTACCACAGGAAGAGTTAGGAAGCCATTGTCGCTGGAGATTTCACTGATTGTTGTCTTCGTGGAGAACTCTAATCTTGGAGAGATACCCTGAAATGATCAGTCAATATAAAAAAAAAACTATTTTAATTTAATTTTAATAATGCAGATATTTATTTTTGTTCTAAAGATGAAAGATGCTAGAGGTGTTTCCTCAGTCTAATCTAAAGAAAACTCTATTTCATCACACTTTAACTTTCTGAGAGAAGATAATCAACATAACGCCACATTCACACGGGGCGTCAGCGTCAACGCTTCCCATTCACTTTGAATGGGTGACGCCAGGCGTTGCCGAACTGCAATGTGGATCCGTCAGCGCCGCTTCAGAGACGTTGCTCACTGCAGGCCAAATTTCATATTCACAAGAGCAAGTTTTGTAAGTGTAAACCTTTTTTCCCTAAATTTAAAATTGAAATGAAAATGTATTTTGAGTGTATTGATCAACCAACTTAGAAGCAATACGAACAAGGACTTTGATTAAGGACTTGGCACTTTTCTTGGACTAAATGAGTAAAAACCCCAGGATTGTTGCTGTTTGATTCATGACATTTGTTGTTATTGTTTTTCAAGCATTTAATAAAATATATATATATTTAAAAAAAACAACGTAAAAAAAAAAAAAAAACGTTGTTCGCTGGACTAGCTCAACTTTTCAAGCGCCGACGGAAGCGTCAGCCAATCAGATCGCTGTATGCAAATACACCAGCTAGACAGTGGCCTATTGCTGACTGAATTTCATTGGCTGATGCTTTTATGACGATCGTTTTAGCCCCAACTTCAGACACGCCTTCAGTCAAGCATTGACGCTGAAGCCCCGTGTGAATGGGGCGTAATAGTTTAATAACCAATTTCTTTTGTCTTTGACATGATGACAGTGCATATTATTTTACTAGTTATTTGTCAATATATTTGTATTCAGCTTAAAGTGTATTTTAAAGGCTCAACTTGGTTAATTAGGCAAGTTAGATTAAATTGGTCAGTCAGTGGACAATAGTGGTTTGTTCTGTAGCCATTCAAAGACAAATCATTTCTTAAGGGGCTAATAACATAGACCTTCGTACATTTAATTTGTTTAAATTCCAAAAAAAAAAAAAAAAAAAAGACTTTGAATTTTTTTTTCTCTAAACCAGGGGTGGCCAACTCTTTTGCTGGAGAGCCACCTTCCTGCAGATTTCAGTTGCCACCCATATCAAACACACCTGAACCAATTGATTAGGACCTGAACACCACATGATAATTACGGGCAGGTGTGTTTGATATGGTTTGCAACTGAAATCTGCAGGAAGGTGGCTCTCCAGGAACAGAGTTGACCACCCCCGCACTAAACATATATATTCCCTATATAATTATTATAATATATTCCCCATATATTATAATTTCCTTCCTCTGTTGAAAATCACTCTGGAAATATTTGGAAGACAATTAAGGACTAATAATTGTGTCTTCAACTGTATATACATAATTATATGCAATAATTTATGTAAGTCTTTTTTTTTTTACTATCTGTAGTACTTTCTGAATTATGAGTAATAAAAGGAGTTTTTTTAATATCACCTCTGAATAAAAACCTCTGACTATATGTCACAAAAACAACAACAATAACTTTAAACCAGACTCTATCCAATGCTCAAACAGGTATGCAAATTATTGCCTTTTTTGTATATAACATTGCTGAACTTGAAAACATGTTTGCAATGTCTAATTACAAGGGCAAGTATGGTGATTATTAGTGAGGGGTTTTTACCCTATATGATTTTCACCATGCACTACTTGACAAAAGTATTGTCACTTATCCAAGTGTAAGGAACACCATATAATAACTTGACTTCTAGTTGGTCATTTGGTATCAGAAGTGGCTTACATAAAAGGCAAAGGCCTCTAGATTAAACTTATTTAACCAAAATAAAATATGATCATGCCTTTTAAATATTTAATTAGGACAGTAAGGTCATAATGCAGTGGAAACAGAATGAATATTGTGTCTGACTCCATCATGAGCTTGGAGGACTGCATCCATACATCTCTGCAATGACTCAAATCACTTGTTAATAGGGTATATGCCGAGCTAGTGCTGTTCCCATGCTAATACACTTCCGGTGAGCTGTTATTGTGAACTTTTTTCCATTTTATACAGTTCCTTATACAGCATCGATGTTATAATGTCATTAAAATACATTCAGTTAAATAAACTTTAGCATTTATTTAGTTGCTCAAGCGTAAAACGAGACAAAAAGATGTTTACTCGCATGCGCCCGTCAGAATCGGCAGGCTATCGCAGAAGCTCCATTGAATATACTGGGGTAAAATAAATGCTCATATTATAAAGACATGACGGGGGAAATGTAATTTAATGCAGTGCTTCTTGTACAATCTGAGACCCACTTTAAATCGGATATCACTCAGCCAGTGGAGATCGCTGATTTTTAAAGAAAACAGACCTTAAACGCACCAGATTTTGCATTGGCATTCAATTCGCCGGAAGCGATTAACCCAGGTTACTGGCAAATTAAAAGTCCTAGTAGCATGCTTCGGCATATACCCCATAAAGTAATCTGCAATGGCAAAGAAAGCGTTCTTGCAGGACTCCCAGAGTTCATCAAGACTCTTTGGATTCATCTTCAATGCCTAATCCGCTATCTTACCTCAGACAGGCTCAATAATGTTCATGTCTGGTGACTGGGCTGGCCAATCATGGTTCACCTTGACCCTCTTTGCTTTCAGGAGCTTTGCTGTGGAGGCTGAAGTATGAGAAGGAGCGCTATCCTGCTGGAGAATTTGCCCTCTCCTGTGGTTTATAATGTAATGGGCAGCACAAATGTCTTGACACCTCAGGTTGTTGATGTTGCCCTCCACTCTGCAGATCTCTCACACACCTACATACTGAATGTAACCCTAAACCATGACTTTTCTTTCACCATTTCTGTGAGATTCTTGGGTCCATGTGGGTTCCAGTAGGTGCAGTATTTGAGATGATTGGGATGCAGTTCAACAGATGATTCATCAGAAAAATCGACCTTCTACCACTTAACCAAATGATCAACTAGAAGTCATTATTTGTTGCTCTTACAACTGGGATCGAAGACAAGACTTTTGTCAGGTAGCAAATAAGGTGAGTACTAGAGTTTTTTACCCTATTCATCTGCAGTGTTTTGAAGAGCACTTACAGGGAAAGTGGGATGTCGAGTCATCAACACCTCTCTTTCCACTCCAGAGAAAGACGGGACCAGCTTGGGCTCTGGGAAAAGAAAACTTCTAGCATCTTCTTCAAAACTAGCCAGTATTTCTCCAGCTGCAAACACACATTTTGGTGTGGTGGTTAGAAATCTGCAACATGAGCCATTTAGTCATATCTGAAAAGTTAATACAAGTTGTACCTGGAGGAATCAACTGAATGAGTTCAATTTTCACTGCTTCATCTGAAGAGGAGGAGAAATACACATTATTAACTAAATGAACAAATTGAATAGATTTAAATTAAAAGGGGTGACGCGGTGGCGCAGTAGGTAGCACTGTCGCTTCATAGCAAGAAGGTCCCTGGTTCGAGCCTCAGCTGGGTTAGTTGGCATTTCTTCATGGAGTTTGCATGTTCTCCCCGTGTTTGTGTGGGTTTCCTCCAGGTACTCTGGTTTCCCCCACAAGACCAAAGAAATGTAAAATATATGCTCTATAAGTTGGTGGTTCATTCCACTGTGGCAACCCCAGATTATTAAAGGTATGACGCCGAAAAGAAAATGAGTGAATAAATTAAAAGCCTTTAGTATTGAAAAGACTGTTTACTTTCATGACTTTGTTTCTAAATACACTTCAGCTGAAGGTAATATAAGTACTCAATTTAATACTTAAGTGCACTTAAGTGTAAAAGTACTAATAAAGACCACTTTGATTCTTTTTAACAATAGTTATTACTCTTGTGAAATGCAAGTGTGCTTAAAAGTATTGAAATTATTAGTATTAATAAGCACTACAAGAATATGGTTAGAGTTAATGATAAGGGTTAAATGCATTATGCGTAACTAATTGTAATTACTACAGTAAGTACATGGAACATGTGTAACAACAACACCTTAAATAATAATTATTACCTAATATAATGCTAATGAAACCCAGCGAGCACCTTGATGTCAAAACAACATCAACGTCAAAGAGCAATTAAGAAATGGTAATCGTTTTGATGTCAAAACCTTGACGTCCGTTTGACATCCACACATTTATCCCCCTTTGACCACCAAAATAACAACACAGAGAAAGTATCCTAACATAAATAAGTTTTACTCATCTGAAAGCTTCAAATTCGAATTGCAAATTTACACTGGAATAAATGTTGTTTCCAAACTACCTTGATGTTAATACAACTCCAAATTGAGGTCTAACATTGACGGTAAAGGATAAGGGTCAGGACAGTCCTGTAATCGATTTTTGATATGTTTTCTGATTTCAATTTAATGCTTTTTTATTTTAATAACATTTTTTATTGAATACAAGAATAATAACATCACTGCATCGAAGAAAAATACAATAACAACAACAAATAAAATAAGAAAGAAGAGAGAAAAAACTATTGCAAAACCTCAATCTTTAAGAAAAAAAAATTATCATAATCTTTAAGAAACGTATTATTTTCATTATTATTAATAAGCTTAAGAGATTCAATATAGTAAGAAATTTCAACAAGGAAAGTATTAAGTATAAGTATTGTTTTTAGGAACTTATTTGAATTCAGTGTTAGACATCAATTTGATGTCGTTTTGATTGACATCAAGGTAGACAATTCGAATCATTCTGCATTTACTGAAGTAATTTTAACACCAAGATGCCCGCTGGGAATAAAAAGGCACTTAAATGTACTTGATGAGTTTTTTCAAATATAAATCAACCATTTTTTCTCAAGATAACAGAAGTATAAAAAAAATAAATGAGAATAATAGAAATGAAGGAGGAGAAAGAATAAGCAGCAGCTCACATTGAAGAAATTCAGCTATGGCTTCAGGATCAGTGGCATAATTCAGTATCTACAAAAAAGAGTTTATAAAACACTAAAACAACTATAATAGAAAGACAATAATAATAATAATAATAATAATAATAACAATAATAATATCCCTCCACCTTTTCGAAGCGGATTTTCTCGCGAATCAGTATCGGAAACACTGCAGGAAGACATTCAGACTTTCTGTACCGATTCATCAGACTCACACTGAGGTAAACATCATCTTTAGCGGGCAGATGAACCCCTGGACAGGTAATCTACAATAGAAATATATAAAACTTTTGACACACAACATGCCAGTCACAACATAACTTACTGTGGTTATTCGTGTTAGTTAGTTAGTATACGACATGTCTCTGACCGTCTCAAAGTCACTCATTTTAGTTGGTAAGCTTGATAATTATCTATAAATAATCCCTCACCGCCCTCAGGTGGAGCTCAACGATCACTTTAACCGCTTTGTGAGGCATGTTGTGTCCCGTTGTTACCGCTAACAAACTGTTATTTTCTCAAGTTCACCCATAACATGGACAGCTCAGGAAAAGCGTCGCGTTTCCATGGCATTGGCATCGTGTGCGGCGCCAACTCCAACTCATTCCTGCCATTCGGTTCATTTGAAAGATCCGGTTCAGTGATTCATTTACGCCTCAACGTAACAGCGTCATCACGTGTTGCCTGAAATTCTGCCGTGACATTTTACGTGAGTACTATTTACATGTTAATGTTATTTTTTTTTACATGTTAGTGTGTCGCATTTCACCTTGTTGACATTCTTTAGCATATATATATATATATATATATATATATATATAAGTGTAATTTGAATCAATGTATTACTACATTTAATTTAAAACGTCTTTGAATGAACAAATGCCATTTTAAAATGCTACTTGGGTTAATAGGTGTTCTTGTAGTGTGTAGCAGTTCTTTCATTACCTAATGCCTGTCTGTCTGTCTATCAAAATGTTGTATATTTTCTCTTATATATTTGGTCATATCTATAAAAATATACCACTCCAAGTAAACTTTTGCTAACTAATTTGACTTCGAATAAGATTTATCTTATTGCAGATTTCCCACCGAACACAACATGGGAACTGTAGTTTTATGTCATTTGTAGTTCATGCTAACGTTTCTCACATCATAAACACTGCCTTTAAACCGAAAAGCACATTGTACATCATATATTGTTGTGTTTATTAATATTGATAATATATACTGTTTCCAAAATCATTTGTGTGGATTCACTTAAACATACACAACAGTGGTGCCAAACATCTAAATGAAAACATGATCTAAAATGAAAAACAATGGAGATCCTATATGATAATTGTGGACAAGATGACAATCATTACCAATTTTCCATACTTAAAGGAACACTGTGCCTTTTTGGGGGGGGGAACTACTAATATTGAAGAGTTGAGTTTTACCATTTTTTTTATCTATTCAGACGATCTCAAGGTCTGGAGCAGTTTTAGCTTAGCTTAGCATAGTGAATTGAATCAGATTAGACCATTAGCATCTCGCTGTTGAGGTAAAGTAAAACTGAGACTATTTCCAAAAAAAAAAAAAAAAAGGGGGAGTGTGCCTTTAAATATTGACCACGTTTCCATCTAAACCTTCCATCGTAGGTATAACAGACTGTTTATTTCAATACGGAGGAAAAAAATGACAACAGACAAAACTGGTGTGCGTTTGATTTATATGGTCATCATCAAGGGTACCAGAAATACAGCTGAATACCAAGATTAAAAAAAACAAACCTGCAAATAAAACTTGCACTTTCAGATTTACAACTTAAAATCAATCTAGCCATCTACATTCGCTTAAGTACAATAATAAAAGAAAAATCAACAGCATATTAGACTTATAGCTGAAAACAGAAAACACTTTTAGTCTGATTCCTCACTGACCAGCGAGTGCTGGACTGCACATGCTAGTTAGAAACCATCTAGAAGGAGCAAACGTCGCTTTATGGTCAGAATGGTTTGAAATGAGCTTGACTAAGAAAGTTCTGCATGTTATAAATGGCCACATAACTGCTTATAAGCTGGAACAGATTTAAAATGTTACCGCATCAATGGTATTTAGTTATTATATTAGCGCTAGTGCTTGACAATTTCGCAAGACACCGTTTTAAAAGAAACTGCTTCTGATGAAACATCAGATTTCAACGTGAGACCAAAAGGATAAAAATGTAAAAGGAGATATGATAAAAAAAAAAAAAAAACGAAAGCAAAAGTGCATCTGATACTTCAGTTCTGAGAGCTCTAGGCTGCCAGCATGACGTCTATATATTGTTTAAGGAGGAAGGAAGAAGGGGTCGAGGGTGTGTTTTCCCTTTGGCTCTATTCTCCATACACACTCTCGTCACTGTAGGCGATGTAGAGGAAGAAATCTTCTTCGTGATGTTCCTGTGGGGGACAAAAATCAATTATTAAGATACATCCATGTTGATAAACAGGGTTCCCACTCTAAGCCTGACTTTTCCTTGACTTCTAATGACTGAAAAGCTAAATATCCATGACCTATATTGAGCACTGGGGGCTCGTCCGGGATAACTGCCAGCAGAATTATCCCGGACGAGCCCCCGGCGTATGACTGACATTGCAGAGGGTTTCGTTTTGCTGCCCAGAGCTCTGTATGCTTTTGATTCATTAAATTGATTGAACTTATTTAAAGCCTCTGACTGACAATTGAATACGGGGGACTAGGAGAGTCCAACAGCACTAAGCAGACAAATATGAAAATATATCTTTAATCACATATTTTTGCTTCGCATTTGCTAAAGTGTGAAACATAGCTACACTTTTTTTAAAAATCAGTAATTTTACGGTTTTTCAAATAGCTAGGGTACAGGAAAAAAAAGTAAAATAACGGCAGTTAAATGACAGAAATTTGCAGTAAAATAACGGATATTAAATGACAGAAATTTACAGTAAAATAACGGATATTAAATGACAGAAATTTACAGTAAAATAAAGGATATTAAATGACAGAAATTTGCAGTAAAATAACGGATATTAAATGACAGAAATTTACAGTAAAATAACGGATATTAAATTACAGAAATTTGCAGTAAAATAACGGATATTAAATTACAGAAATTTGCAGTAAAATAACGGATATTAAATTACAGAAATTTGCAGTAAAATAACGGATATTAAATTACAGAAATTTGCAGTAAAATAACGGATATTAAATGACAGAAATTTACAGTAAAATAACGGATATTAAATGACAGAAATTTACAGTAAAATAACGGATATTAAATGACAGAAATTTGCAGTAAAATAACGGATATTAAATGACAGAAATTTACAGTAAAATAACGGATATTAAATTACAGAAATTTGCAGTAAAATAACGGATATTAAATTACAGAAATTTGCAGTAAAATAACGGATATTAAATTACAGAAATTTGCAGTAAAATAACGGATATTAAATTACAGAAATTTGCAGTAAAATAACGGATATTAAATTACAGAAATTTGCAGTAAAATAACGGATATTAAATGACAGAAATTTGCAGTAAAATAACGGATATTAAATTACAGAAATTTAAATTTAAAAAAATTTCTGTAATTTAATATCCGTTATTTTACAGTAAATTTCTGTAATTTAACTGCTGCTATTTTACATTTTTTTCTGGCACCCCAGCTGGCGGAAATAAACGTAAAATTACAGATTGGTTTTTTACAGTTGAGACTAGAAGTAAGATAGAATTGCTTTATTTTTAATCTTTTCAATTAGGCTATAGCATTCATACAGTGTTGATTCATATATTAAATAATAAATCATTTAAACAAATCAAAGACTTTAAAAATGTTACTAAAAATCAATTGCAGAGGCAAAATAATAATAATTTGATACATTGAATTGCATTTTTTCCTTTTTTTCCTTGTCTTCTAATGACTGAAACGCTGAATATCCATGACCTATAATGAGCACTGGGGGCTCGTCCGGGATAGCTGTCAGGAGAGCGGGTGGCATAGTTGTGCTGTTGCTGGTGAATGGTGATGTGGAAACGCTTCATGACCTATAATGAGCACTAAGCAGTATATCTTTTAATATCTGTATATCTTATATTTATCTTTATCAAAGAAAAAATAATAATAATTTGATCCATCGATTGCATTATTCTTGGCCAATTAAGGTGTTTTTGGCAATTGTGACCGGCCAATTAATTTCAATCAAGCCAAGACCACATCATCCAGCCGATCTCGGACCGATTGATTTGGGGAGGATCCGAGCACGATTGCTGGATTCACACATGCCAAACGAACTTAATTAAGGTGGCAGGTTCCGAAACAAATGTCTAGGTGTGAAAGCACCCTAAGAACAATAATATACAGAATAAACAAACAAAATATACGTTTATTCCCCATAAAGACGATAAAAATCATTATAAAATGATTTGATAAGTCCCCTTAAAGTTAAAATGTAAAAAAATGTAGGTGTTAGCATCACTATGTTAGTGTTATAAGGTTATCTATAATTAACTGTGCTCCGAAATAGTGACAACATTAAGAAAATATAAACATCAATCAAGTAATCAACAAGTTATTTAAACAAATTTTTGACCAATCAAATGCTCTCTAGTACTTGCTACATCCTGCCTCCTATAAGACCCTGTTGCTGATGCTGAAATTGGTCATTTGTTCACATCAAAAAGCGATTAAAACCAAGAGTTCACCTAAACACTTGAAATAATAAATGGTAGCTAACTGTGTTGATTTACATAATCTACATCTATATAATACACAGACGTGGACAGAATTGTTGGTAGCCTTCATTTTTGTCCAGGCCAGATTCATGAGTTTGGCTTTTTAATGCTTCTGTTGAACCACAACTCCAAAGCAATGTCTTATTTTCATTAGTGTATTTTCAGTAATATTTGATTAATCCTCACTTTTTTCATTTTCAAGTTGACCACTGGGCGACATGGTGGCTCAGTGGTTAGCACTGTCACCTCACAGCAAGAAGGTTGCTGGTTTAAGTACCAGTTGGGCTAGTTGGCATGTGTGGAGTTTGCATGTTTGCATGCCGGGTGCTCTGGTTTTCCCCAGTCCAAAGACATGCGCAGTAAATTGGCCGTAGTCAATGTGTGTGAATCTAAGAGTGTATGGGTGTTTCCCAGTACTGGGTTGCAGCTGGAAGGGCATCCGCTGTGTAAAACATGCTGGATGAGTTGGCGGTTCATTTTGCTGTGGTGACCCCTGATGAATAAAGGGACTAAGCCGAAGGAAAACGAATGAATGAATGAACGAATGAATTTGATCACATTAGTTTTTTTTTCTTCAAGGGAAGGATGCCATTTATATTGTCCACACCTGTATATAAAAAAATCATATCCAGGACTATCTAGACTAGACCATTTTAGTCCAAGGAAAAGACATTTAAAATTTTTATGATATTCTACAAATTTCATCCTGTGGGATCCCTGGAAATTTTTTTTAAAAAACAGTCAACATGTAAGAGGGCGTTATAAATACCTGGTACAACTGGCCCATGGTGGCGGAAGTAGGGGGAATGACGTTGTTTACAAAGAAGAAAAGAGCATCTTCAGCTCTTAGGTGGATTCGTTTTCGGATGAGAAAGTAAAACTGGCCCACTAAAATATAAAAAAA